TACCTCTCGCCTGCATTTTGTAACTTCCGACAGAGATGGGAATGAGCTAAGTGGAGTTGAAGTTGACGATTTCTTCGAAAATGTCACTAACTTTAACATGCAATTGAACTACAACACAGGCTGATCTTTGGCTTTAAATTTTTGTGGAAGCTTTGCGAGGCCCTAGAATAACTTATGACGTTTGAAAACTTATTTAAAATTCTGCTGGTGTTAAGTTGTGTGGATGCAAAGCAATTCGGTACTTCGGCGGGGGACAAATCTCAAAAACGGGGGGACAAATCACGCCAGCCTCTGTGACTAGGTGCATAAGCAGTCATCCTCGATTCGTGGTAATCTATCACAGTCGTCTAATAACATCAAGAATAGAAACGTACAGAGCTAGCAACTGCAGAGACGCAAGTTGCAGCAAATACCTACTTCTCTGTTCTGCAAGTAATTACGGCAGCACTAACACTAGTCCTTCGTGAGGCAAGGCAAGATGAGGTACGATGCCTGTGGTTATGTAGGCACGCACTATCTCTACTACTAAACGACAGGACTACCGAAGCTAGCTACGATACTGGAGAGCTCTCGCAAGACACAGACGATGCTTCTGAGTCCACAGGTAGCTCAGCAAGCATGTGGGCTAAAGCTTTGACTGATACCAGCCGCGAAGGGTGGTCTTCTCGAAGAGTACGAGCTTCGACCGTAACGACATGCTGCAACAACGCTACCGCCTTGCGCAGCTGCCCATCTGCTCGGTATGCTCCTGCGAGCTCGTGCTGCGACACCAGTCGTGAGGGGTGCTCTGCCGCCAGCGTCTTCTCTTGCACTTCCACCACGTGCTCTAGCAGCCCTACTGCCTTGTGCACCTGTCCGTCTGCTCGATATGCTCTTGCGAGCTCGTGCTGCGACGCCAGTCGGTCTGGGTGCTCTGCCGCCTGCGTCTTCTCTTGCACTTCCACCACGTGCTCTAGCAGCCCTACTGCCTTGTGCACCTGTCCGTCTGCTTCGTATGCTCCTGCGAGTACGTGCTGCGACAACAGCTGATCTGGGTCGTCTTCGCCGAGTTGGCTCCGCTGTTGACACGACCTTTCCAGCCACACTACTGCCTCCCGCATCCTGCCGTCCACGTACAGACACCGTCCCACCAGCAGACACAGTTCAGACTGCTCCCATGCACTGCTGTCCTGCCCACCCTCGAGCAGCCGCAGCGCGTGCGGCAAGTACCCCCTCCACACAGCCCGGTTCTCGTAGTCGTCTGACGGGAAGACATCGGCGACATGCCGCACTGCATCCTCTGCTACCTCTCCTGCGTTGCCGTGCTTCTTGACCCAGATCCGTGTCGCCAGATGGACGAGTCGATAGATGTCGTACCACTCCTCTGCCTCCGTCGCTTGGTCGACATCCCTTCCTTGCTTACTCTCTCCGCTAGTCGCTTGGTTGTCACCATCTCGCCTCGCCAAGAACGAGTACCCGCACAGCATGCCAATGGCCTCCTCCATCTCCCCTTCCGACTGTGCCTCTGGCAGCAGCGAGCGCGGTATAGCCTTCCACTCCACGCACGATATGAACGCTAGCAGATCTGCTGCTACTGCGTCGCGCTCGCGGATCTGGCTAAACGACACCACCCACGTCGTCGCCACCGCGTTCGCTGAGCCCTTGTACCGCGTGTCGTCGCGAAACTCTCGACTCAACAGACGAACTAGATCCTGCTCCGTGTTGTGCAGCTGCCACAAGTACCTTGCGATCGTCGTCCGGTTTATGTTGAGGTACGCTGCCGCCTGCGCAATTGCCAGCGGCAGGCACGTCAGCTCATCTAGCAGCTTGTCTGTCATTGCTTGGTTACTCAGAAGCTCCTTCTTGACCAGCGACTTAGAGAGAAAGTCAATCGCGTCTCCGCGGTCCATCGCGTCCAGCTCTAGCACGTCGCCCCGTGTCAACGACACTGCTACCTCCAGCGTGCGCGTCGTGTACACCACTACGCCACTCTCGCTCTCCGGCAGGTAGTCGACGATACCCCTCGACGGTTCAGTCCCGAACAAGATGTCCGGGTCGTCCGCGTTGTCCACCACCAGCAGCCATCGTCTTGCCCGGCTTGAACTGAGGTACTGCTTCACCAGCTCTTTCGCGTCCTCTTTGTCCGCTGACTGCGGTATGTGCAGCGTCTGCACAATCTCTGCACACGCCTGCTCGAAGCTCTCCATGCTCATCGCCGGCAGCCAGAAGATCGACCACTCCGGCTGCGTCTCCTTGACTTCATACGCAAACTGCAGCGCCACTTGCGTCTTGCCCATGCCGCCGAGCCCGACAATGGACATCTTCTGGCAGTCTTGCTCTACCAGCAGCCGCTGCCGCAGCTCAGCCAGCTCGTCGCATCGGCCGACAAAGTGCCGGTTCTTCAGGAAGGGGATGTAGTAGGTCGATTCGACTGTCCACTCATACGTTTCATTAGTGTCGATGTACTATCAAATAGAAACAAAAGCAGCTACACTAACCGCTTACATCCCGCATCGTCTCCTCCGCCGTGCGCGACTTGGCCACGTCTACCGGCGGTATCGCCGACAGCACCTCCTTCGCGTACGCCGCTGCCGTCGCTGCCGCATATGGCTGCCACCGCTTGTTCTTGTGCGAGTCCGCGTAGTCGCAGATGCCGCGCACGACGAGACACGGGAAGCTGTTCATCAGCCCAGCCGCCTCCATCTCAAAGCACAGCACCCCGTCGAGCTCTGCGCTGACTCTGTCTCTCTCGGCAGCGCTCCGCATCACCTGGTTGCCGGACGCGATGGTGCCGTAGTGCACCACTACGTCTTGTCTCCGTACCTCCCGAGTGACTGTGTGTTCTGTTTTGCACTTTGCGCACGTGGCTGATCCTACATGGTCGTACGTCGCGTCGTACAGAGCGTCTGAGCCCGCAGCTTCTCGCGTGAAGTCTGGCAAGCTGTCGAGCTTGGACAGATACTCCAACAGCTTACCCTTCCCTCTCATCTGCTTGGCCCGCACGTTCGCCACCGCGTTCAGCAGCACCATCGGTGGTGTGTTGAGCGCTCCCGTCCGCTCGAACCCGCTCGGCGTGGCCTTGCCCGAGTCGTACTGCACCACTCCGCCGTGCGTCTTGTGCGGCTTGCTCACCACCACGTCCCCGAGCCGCACGTCTGCCTCCTCGCTCGGCACGCCGCCGCCGATACCATCAGGCCAAACCGCGTCGACGAGAAGGTTGACTTCATCTGCGCTGCGACTGCTGCAGCCGAGTTGGTGCCCGTTTGACCTTCAGGCAAGCAGGCGATGACCACGTTGTGCTCGCCGACGCGTCCGCAGGTGTAGAGGTTCGTGTCGTGGGCGCCACATCGAGGTGTGTCGTGCTCCTCGTCGAGCATCTCCTGCGCTGCCGCCAGCTCGACGGGCAGCGCGCACACCCATCCCACCGTGTAGTCGTCGCGGCGCAGCTGGGGCGCCATGTGCGGTCGTTGCGAGGGAGGTCGAGACTAAAGTGGTTGCAGTGTCTCGACAGTGTGCTATAAGTGAAGTCGTGGTCCGGCAGCCTGCCAGCCGTTCAGCCTGGCGACGATCACAGCGCTTGGCTGCCTGCATGTCGTCGGCTGGGAGCCTGCAGGCTGAGGTGGGCTGTCGACGTCCAGCGGAGGTCGCTGCAGCCGCGGGCGAGGTGTGGGGGCCGGAACGGCGGCCCGCTCATTGGTTAGACATGTGGAGTACACTACCACGCCGCTATCAGACCAGGCTGCAGACGTAACCCAAAGTTTCGAGTACCATTCAACCCCTCCAAACTCTCATATCTCCACCTTTCTTCAGCATTTTCCTAGATGCAGCTTTACACAGTTCTGCAGTTCTGTAAGCGATTCTGACGTCGAGATGGAGCATAGACTAAGGCAAGATCAGCTTCAGCGGGCTGGGTGCTCGAAAAGAAGAACATCGATCAATGCATGGATGTAAACGATGACTTCGTTTTTCTGCTCGTTGTTTAATCGTCGTCTAGGACACCACTGTACCACAACTCCGATACATGTAGGTACCACTAGATCGAGTGTCAGAGCTACACAGTAATCACTTACAGCCTGGAAAAGCAGGACACCTTTTCAACAGATGCGAAGCTACCGCCAGAGCTAGTGCAGTTCTTTCAAATCCCGACTTGCCTTTTTACAACTGTATACCGACGCTCCAACGGGTTCTTCAGCTCTGTAGAGACTTTTAATGGGGATGGCGAGCTCCAATCTACCTGTAAGGAACTAATCAAGTACACTGCAAGCAAGCATCTTCTCATCTCACATCACAGACACGTGGTTCCGCGTCCTGGTCAAGATGGCCGCTCGAGACGCCAGCTCAAGCTACAGCTGGCACGAGATGACCTTCTGTTCACGGTGGGTCTCCGGCCGCTGCACGATTCTGTGTACTGGGGCATCTTCACTTTTTAGAGGGCTACTACAAGGCGCGCTTTCCCAGTCAGGAACAATGCCCCCGCCTTCAGAGCCGTACTCGCTGCACATGCCTCTCGTTGAGGCGGTCGTTGCCATGCAGGACTTGTCCGTATGGTCTGTACGCGACATCGTGCGTAGTGTTGAGAAGGCAAGCACGCTCGCGTAACGAAAGATGCATGAAGGTAGTAACAAGTGCTCAGGACCGCTCACTTCCAGCCCGTGTGTCCCAAGGCTTCCTGATGATGCATGAGGCGGCACGTCACGCCATCCACTCGTTCGAGACGCTCAGTGTAACAGTGGAAACGGTGGAAGCTATGCAGAGACACGTAGTATATCTTGCGAGCAAGAGCAAGCAGAAGAGTGGAAATGAGCCGGAGGCACCGTCCCAAGTGCGCACGCATATAGCCTTTCAAGCCAGCATGCTTCGCAATCTGCTCCTGCGATCGCAATCGAACAAGGAGCGGCTGCAGAACGAGATCGCACTGGTGAGGCAGTTTGCTTGACTACTGAGGCCAGCTTACTGACGCACCGTCAGACATACAACATGATTGCCCAGCGTGACAGCCAGGTCATGACGGGGCTTGGAGAGGCAGCGAGGCGCGACAGTGGCGCTATGAGGACGATTGCAGTAGTGACCATGGCCTTTCTGCCCCCAACCTTCTTATCAGTATGTGCTCCCTGCTGTTGGACGACACTTGACTAAAACTGGGCAGGCGATCTTCAGCATGAGTTTCTTCAACTACACTCCCGAACAAGGTAGTGCAGGATGGTCTGTGTCTGGCAAGTTCTGGGTGTACTGGGTCTGTGCTTTGCCGTTAACATGCATAACGCTGATGATCTGGTACTGGCGGCAGAGACGAGTAGAAAGCTGAAAGGATCGCTGTTTCACTGGGTCTGATGAGACAGCGGCTGAACACCGAGGTTATGGAAGCAGGATTGAACGGAAGCATTTGAGTGCAGCAGCACAGTTATCTGATCATACACACACCCAAATCAGCATCATTGACTTGCCTGCTAGGCTGGAGGTCTGGGAGATTGATTTGACAGGAAGCCTTCTTACACGCAGACATGGTCGATAGCTCGATCGGGCGGGCAAGAACAAACAAGGAGAGAATACAAATCGAAATACTGTACTGTCTATCCTCTTAACCTATCTCTACGGGCCTTAGCTTTGCGGAGGCAATGAACGTTCTGCGGTTAGTCGATGTGCATACCTTTCATTCGATCACGTGCTGGAATGCCTAGCGCGGAGAGGTGCAGCAGTCGAGCTCTTCAACACTCACGCCTGCGTTCCGGAAATGTCTTTTTGCGCTATCTTCCCGTCCTCCTACCACACTCACACACCACTCGAGATACGCTCCAAACTCCTCGTGCGGGCTGTTCTCAAACTCATGCCACTGCTTCTTGATGAAAGCCTTCAGCTCGGCGAAGAATTCCTCGATCGGGTTGAAGTCCGGGGAGTACGGAGGCAGATATAACAGCTTGACCCCAGCATCATCGCACATCTGCGTGATTCGCTCGCTATGGTGGAACGAAGCATTATCCATGACAAGCACCGAGTTCGGCTCTGGGTATGGCCTGCAGTGATGGAGGAGCTGCTCTATAAAGTCTTCGAACACTGCACCGTCAGTCGAGCCTTGGAAGACTCGGGACCAAAGGACCCCCTCTTGTGTGTACGCAGGCAGTATCTGGTGCCTGCGGTCCCGGTGGAAGCGGGCGACCTCCACAGGTGCTACTCCGAGCGGCGACCAGCCCGTGCGTCTGAAGCCGATGCGCTTGTCGCACCCGGATTCGTCGATGTATACCAGTTGGTACGAACGGAACTCGGACAGCTTGTGCATGTAGAAGTCGCGCAGATCAGCGTTGCGTTCGCTAGCGATGCGCCGAGTGACCTTTTTTGACCACTTGACAGAGGCCAATGCCCTACCGATGCTAGACACTGAGACTAAGATGCCGAACTCATCGTACAGGAATACAGCCATCTCATCTCGGTACAGCCCCGGCTTTTCTATCAGGCGGTCGCAGAGGGCATCAAGCATAGGTGGAGTGATCTGCCGCCGTCTTCCCGCACCGTTGGCTGGCGCTCTCGTTCCGCCAAACAAGCGAACGTTAGTGGCGATGTTTCGAATCGTGCGGTCGCTGCAGCCGGCAACGTCAGCCATCTGTACCTGCGTCAAAGACCCATCTAGTATCATGTCGCGGATTAGGTCATGCTGCGATAGGGCGAGGTTTGGCGCCATGGCAGTGAAGCCCGGTGCGGATAACAGGCTAGCAGAGCGGGCTGGTGCAGGACAGCTGGTGTTACTCAGGGAGCGTCGAGGTAAGAGGCTGTGGCTTTCTCGGCCCGCTGCTACCCAGTCCGGTCAGCGACAGGGCCAGCTTCTAGAAGGTTCGCATCGTTGGGGCGGAACGTAGAATTCCAGGGTTTAGCTGTCGATCTGGTTCGTCATCAGCGATTGGATGGCAGCCGCGTACGACAAGAGGAGCATGGTCTCCGCCGTCCCGTCCGCTTCGTCGATCGGCCGCTGGTGGTGTGGAGCAAGTCAACGTCGACCTGTACAAGCGCCTCGGCTACTGCCTGCGCAGAACTAACCAATGAGTGGGTCGCTGTTCTGGCCCCCACACCTCATCACCCGCGTCTGCAGCGACATCCGCTGGACGTCAACAGCCCACCTCAGCATGCGGGCCCAGCTAACGACATGCGGGCAGCCGCCAGGCTGAGCGGTTGCCAGGCTGCCAGACCACCATCTCCCCTACAATACACCGTCCGTAAGACACTGCAGCTACTTTAGTTTCAGCCTCCCCCGCAACGACCGCGAATGGCGCGCCAGCTGCGCCGCGAAGACTACACCGTGGGATGGGTGTGCGCGCTGCCCGTCGAGCTGGCGGCAGCGCAGGAGATGCTCGACGAAGAGCACCCCGACCTCGAGCGCAACGCGGCCGACAACGACGAGAACCTGTACGCGCTGGGCTCGATCGGCGGCCACAACGTCGCCATAGTGTGTCTGCCCGCCGGCCGGATCGGCAACAACCCAGCGGCCGCGGTGGCGACGCAGATGCGAGCGACGTTCAAGAAGATCCGGTTTGGGCTGATGGTGGGGATTGGCGGCGGTGTGCCGAGCGCTGAGGCAGACGTCCGGCTGGGGGACGTGGTGGTCAGCCAGCCGCAAGGAAAGCACGGCGGAGTAGTGCAGTACGATTCGGGCAAGGCCACGGCGAGCGGGTTCGAGCGGACAGGAGCGCTCAACTCGCCGCCACAAGTACTGCTGGCAGCAGTCGCAAAAGTGCGGGCGAACGAGCTGCGAGGCCGGAGCAAGCTGTGTGATCACATCACTAAGCTAGAGGGCATCGGCAAGTTCCAGCGCAGCAGAGCTGGGCTTGACGTTCTCTTCGAGGCAGCGTACGAACACGAGGGTGGGCAGACGTGCGACAAGTGCAGCAGTGACAGACACGAGGCTCGAGAGCCGCGCGACAGCGAAGAGGAAGTGTCAGTGCACCATGGCACGATCGCTTCGGGCAACCAGGTGATCAAAGACGCTGCTGTACGAGACAAACTGAGCACGGAGCTCGGTGGGGTGCTGTGCTTTGAGATGGAGGCGGCGGGACTGATGAACAGCTTCCCGTGTCTGGTCATTCGCGGCATCTGCGACTACGCGGACTCGCACAAGAACAAGCGGTGGCAGCCATATGCGGCAGCGACGGCGGCGGCGTACGCGAAGGAGGTGCTGTCGGTGATACCGCCAGCGGAGGTGGCCAAGTCGCGCACGGCAGAGGAAGCGATCAGAGAGGCGAGCGGTTAGTGCAGCAGCAGCAGCGGCAGCAGCAGTCGTCTTATGTTTGGCTATGTGATAGTGCGCTGATGCAGCAACAGGACGTGTACCTACGCCTACATACTATATACCTTTCTTGAAGAACCGATACTTTGTTGGGCGTCAAGAAGAGCTCCGCGTGCTGCAGCAGAAGCTGATGGTGGATCAGGACTGCCAGAAGCTATCTATCGTGGGGCTTGGCGGGACGGGCAAGACGCAGGTGGCGCTGCAGTTTGCGTACAGCGTGAAAGAGAGGTGGCCCGAGTACTCGATCTTGTGGGTGCCTGCGCTCAGCATGGAGAGCTTCGAGCAGGCATGCGGAAGCGTTGCACGAGCGTTGCGCATACCGCAGGAGGGCGGCGGCGACGAGGACGTAAAGGAGCTCGTGCAACAGCACTTGAGCTCAAGCCGAGCAGGACGATGGCTACTCATTGTCGACAATGCTGACGATGCGGATATCTTCTTTGGAACGGAGCAGTCGAGGGGCATTGTCGACTATCTGCCTGAGAGCGAGACGGGCGTGGTCGTGTACACCACACGCACGCCAGAGATAGCCGAACTGACACGCGGCGATGTCCTGGAGCTCGGGGCGATGGACCGACAGGACGCAGCCGCCTTCCTTACTAAGTCGCTGACGAGGAAAGACCTTCTTCGCGATAATGCAACGACAGCGGAGCTACTAGACGAGCTGACCTGTCTGCCGCTCGCCATCGCGCAGGCGGCTGCCTATCTAAACCGAAACCGCATGTCTGTCGCGAAGTACCTACAGCTGCTTCGGAGCACGGAGCAGGAAGTGGTTGCACTGATGAGCAGAGAGTTTCGCGACGACACACGGTACAAGGGCTCGGCGAATGCAGTGGCGACGACGTGGGTGGTGTCGTTCAGCCAGATCCGCGAGCACGATGCAGCAGCGGCCAACCTGCTAGCGTTTATTTCGTGCGTAGAGTGGAAGGCTATACCGCGTTCGCTGCTGCCAGAAGCACAGTCGGAAGGGGAGATGGAGGAGGCCATCGGCACGCTGTGCGGATACTCGTTCCTGGCGAGGCGAGAGGGCGATAGCCAAGGCACACAAGAGGAGGGCGAAGAGACAGAGACAGAGACAGAGACGCAGATTGAGACAGAAGAGTGGTACGATATCCATCGACTCGTCCACCTGGCCACACGGATCTGGGTCAAGGAGCACGGGAACGCAAGTGAGGTAGCAGAGGACGCAGTGCGGCATGTTGCAGACGTCTTCCCGTCAGACGACTATGAGAACCAGGCCGTGTGGAGAGGGTACATGCCGCACGCACTGCGGCTGCTCGAGGGTGGGCAGGACAGCAGTGCATGGGAGCAGTCTGAACTGTGTCTGCTGGTGGGACGGTGTCTGCAAGTGGACGGCAGGATCCTAGAGGCAGTAGTGTGGCTAGAAAAGTCGTGTCAACAGCGGAGCCAACTCAGCGAAGACGACCCAGATCAGCTGTTGTCGCAGCACGTACTCGCAATGGCATACGAAGCAGACGGACAGGTACAGAAGGCGGTAGCGCTACTAGAGCACATAGTCGAAGTGGAGGGGAAGACGCTGGCGGCAGAGCACCCCTCACGACTTGCGTCACAGCACGCGCTCGCAGGAGCATATCAAGCAGACGGACAGGTGCGTAAGGCAGTAGCGCTGCTGGAGCACGTGGTCGAAGTAAAAGAGAAGACGCTGGCGGCAGAGCACCCAGACCGACTGGCGTCGCAGCACGCGCTCGCAATGGCATACGAAGCAGACGGACAGGTGCGTAAGGCGGTAGCGCTGCTGGAGCACGTGGTGGAAGTGCGAGAGAAGACGCTGGCGGTAGAGCACCCCTCACGACTGGTGTCGCAGCACGCGCTCGCAATGGCATACGAAGCAGACGGACAGGTGCGTAAGGCAGTAGCGCTGCTGGAGCACGTGGTGGAAGTGCAAGAGAAGACGCTGGCGGCAGAGCACCCCTCACGACTGGCGTCGCAGCACGAGCTCGCAATGGCATACGAAGCAGACGGACAGGTGCGTAAGGCGGTAGCGCTGCTGGAGCACGTGGTGGAAGTGCGAGAGAAGACGCTGGCGGTAGAGCACCCCTCACGACTGGTGTCGCAGCACGTACTCGCAGGGGCATACGAAGCAGACGGACAGGTACAGAAGGCGGTAGCGCTACTAGAGCACATAGTCGAAGTGGAGGGGAAGACGCTAGCGGTAGAGCACCCCTCACGACTGGCGTCGCAGCACGCACTCGCAATGGCATACGAAGCAGACGGACAGGTGCAAGAGGCGGTAGCGCTGTTAGAGCACGTCGTATCTGTCGAAGCTCGCACTCTTCGAGATGACCATCCTTCACGCCTAGTATCAGTCGAAGCTTTGGCCGACATGTATGCTGAGCTAGCTGTAGACTCTAACAAAGCATCGTCTCTCTCTTGCGAGAGCTCTACACTATCGTAGCTAGCTTTAGTAGTCCTATCGTTTGGTTGTAGAAGTAGAGCGTGCCTACATAACTATAGATAGCCTGCCTCGCCTCGCCTTGCGTCCTTAAGAATCAGTCTTAGTACACAAGTCTTACTCAAATAAGTAGCTGTTCTCAGTAGTTTGTACCTTAATAGATGCTAGCTTTATACACTTCAACTCTAAACCTTGTAAAACAGCTGTTATAGATTACCACTAATTGAGGATAGGCTGGCGTGATTTGTCCCCCGTTTTGAGATTTGTCCCCGCCGAAGTACCGAATTGCTTTGCATCCACACAACTTAGCACCAGCAAAATTTTAAATAAGTTTTCAAACGTCATAAGTTATTCTAGGGCCTCGCAAAGCTTCCTCCAAAATTTAAAGCTAAAGATCAGCCTGTGTTGTAGTTCAATTGCATGTTAAAGTTGGTGACATTTTCGAAGAAATCGCCAACTTCAACTCCACTCAGCTCGTTCCCACCGCTGTCGGAAGTTACAAAATGCAGGCGAGAGGTACTTTAGTGCATGCAGAACGTATTCTAAGCTTCAAAGATAAATATTACACGTGGTGTTGCGGTGAAATTGCATTGCGGAGCGCAAAAGTTGCCATTTTCGGTACTTCGGCGGGGGACAAATCTCAAAAACGGGGGGACAAATCACGCCAGCCTGCCCGTGATGAGATATAAGGTTCTGACAGCGTGCACGGACTACAGTCTGGACTGAATTGACTGATAGCAAGTCTGTGTTCAAGCCTCTCAGTACATCATACTCAAAGAAGCTAGGAGAGCGCCTCTTCAAGCACAAAGGCCTGGTACCGGTGAAGAAGTCTGACTTCTTCTTGCTATTCTGGGATGCCTGGGTGGCTAGCTTCACTGAACCAAACATACTCAGCTCTTTTAAGGCAGTGGGTGTGAGCCCATTCAACCCTAACGTTATACTCGATAAGTTCGTGGATAGCGACTCTGAGACTGCAGAAGATAGTGACTCTGACGCTCCTATCTATGAGGGAGAACAGTGGAGGTTTCTCGACCGGGTAGCAAGGCGTGCGTTGACGAATGCAACAGAGAAGGAGGCATCAATTATTCGGCAATCGCTTCACCACATGGCTATCCAAAACACCCTTTTGAGGAGTGAAAATGAAGGTCTAATAGACGCTCTTACTACTAAGAGGAAGCGAGAGAAGCAAGGGAAGCCTCTAGCTTTGCTACAACACTATGAGTACTGGGGACCGTACATGATGTGGACTCCTCGCTCCTTCCGAGAAGCGCGCACACGGATGAGGATAGCAAAGCGTGAGGCGGAGGAGGAGGAGCTTCAAAAAGAAGAGGCAAGAAAGCTAAAGGCTGCTACTACAGCTTACAACAAGCAAATTGCAGAAGAGAAGCGCCAGAAGGCAGCAAGGGAGAAGGAAGAGCGAGAGAGAAAGCGTGCAGAAGAGCGCCTAGCTATCGATGCGCGCAAGGCTGAGAGAGCACGCAAGAAACAAGAGCGCGACTCTCAAAACAGATCACAGACTGCCGCAAAAGGCAAGCGCAAGGCCTCACAGCAACAAGAAGTTCAAAAGAGGCAGAAACGTAGTTCTACAGCTGTGCAGAGTGGTAGTGTTGTCCATAAGCCGCCTACAGCACCTGCACCTACAGTAAACAGCCGCGGCCGCAGAATACTTCAGCCACGCAAATATTGGTAGCAAAATTTGTCGCATAGGCCTATAGATCACTCCACCAAAAAATCTGGTCAAGATAGCTTTTGTACGTGGCTCAATAACCTCAAGTTTGCTGGTGATGGTTAGGGCCGATTCCGCGCGTTGGCCGACGGCGCGCGTTGGGTGCACGGGCACGGTACGGACTAAACAGTCGCGCAGTTCATTTCGACACCTACTTTTCAAAAGGGTTTGAAGGATGTCGAGGCTTAGATTCCCGGCAACAATTAGGCCACAATGCGATTGAAAGACATGGGCGTGAGGTAGGATTGCCTTTGACCACTTGTACGTGAGGGCCTCGTTGGTGAGCCCAGTTCGTCCAGGTGCAGAAAGGCGGATGCCGCTCAGGCGCCAATCAACCAGTCATCAGTGAGTATATACGAAAGGGGCGTGATATCCTAGCGTCATGCTCGTTGGATCACCCACCATCACAATAGGACAATCAGATTGGTAGGTTGTGATACCCATGGCGGCTAGGTTGGCGCCTATGTAGTGTGAAGGAAGGGCACTTGAAACGTCACACGCCAACCGAGCGTCCCGGGCAACCAACTGGCCGATCCGAGGACACAAGAGATTGAAGGAAGCGTCATTGCAGCCAATTCCACAGGGAATCTATTACGAACAACTGAACCGAGTTGGCCTTGTTTCTGTGCCTCTTTCAGACTGATAGGATGGTGGGAGCGGTTGCTGATACCGAGGTGGATGGTCGGGCCGTCCGGATGGTCGCACCGTCCACCTCGGTACATGTCAATGGGAACTGTGCCGCAATATCGCATTGACAGCTTCCATGCCGCGCGGTCCGGCCGGCGAAGTACTCCCTTGGGCGACCGGGTTATCCAGTGGAGCCTTCGTCTGGCACGATAACTGCAAGATTATTGAGCTGTAGGAGTGAGCTTAGACGGGAATGAGTGAATTTCGACATATTCCGCGGAGGCATCGTCAAGAAGTCGATAGAGCAATCATTCCACGTGCAAAGCGTATACCGTGCATGACGGCCCAACGATCGCCCCACCAAAACACCACCTCAACTTCAACACGCGATAACTTCACCAAAATGACCCTCTCGAGGCTGCGATTGCAGCAATTGAGTCGCTAGGACCAGGACAACAATTAGTTTACACCCAAACTGCGAAAAGTACAGTCACAGCACTGTAACGCTCGCACGAAGACACCAATGCATTTCAACGTGAACATGTCCCTTCGATTATTCTGGTCTAGCGCTTGGATTTATATGTCTCCTGACTCCAGGTAGCAATTTCTGAGCATGTCTTTCGAGAAATGATGAACACATGGCTCTTAGTCTTTTTCCTGCGGCCGGTTGGTTCCTGTTATTCGACCAAAAGATCCTTACCTTTGAATTCTCGCTAGGCAATGAGCATGGAAGGTGGAACCCCGCATGCTGCGCTTGTAAAAACCGCTCAATCTTCCAAAAAGCTCGCATCGCCAGTCATTGAATCCGACCTCATCGCAGCAACCGAGATGTCTGTACCCCGACCACTTATACACAGTTTAAGTATCTCGAAGGCTTTCAACAGCCTGTCTTTGAAAGAGAAGCATTATGCCCATTATATGGCACGGTATGTGTTCGCAAGGGGAACAGGAAAGCGGGGCTGAGCTAACTCTTCGGTAAATGTAAGAGCAGCATGGCATGGAGCTAGGATCATTCTTCGCCAGGTATCGCCGGAGTCAATCGATATCTTTGACTTTATCCTTGAGCTCTACTGGAGTTGTTCGGGGAATTGGGATGTGCTTGTTGCTGAAGAATGCATCGGTCGAGAGGACTGCGATGCGTTTCTGGATTATGCAGCAACATTTCTCTCAAACATAGGGAATTACTATGTTCGTTGCGCTCTGTTTTTACAGTGTAATATCTGAGATTTCGCGCAGGGCTCCGGCGATCAGAAGTTTCTGCCATCAGTTTCTTCTGCCGCACTGACAAGGCTATCGAAGAAGTCCCCCAAGCTTGAGTATCTTTATGAGAAGATCTCTAGCGCGATAATAACCATGCCGCCGTACGGGCTAGGGTTCCCGAGCGATACAGCTCAGAGCGCATACTACCCGGGAGATTCCCTAATTACTCGAGATGAGATATCAGCGGTCTCTCGCTTGTTAGAGAAACACTCAATCTTTCCTGAGAACACACGGATCCAAAAGGTATCCAGCCCCAAAGCACATACATTCGAGGTCTTACGAGCATCTGTCGAGCATGACACTGAACCATCTGTAATCGAAATACCGAGTCTCGGTGCTACCATGAAAGTCAAAGGCGGTGATCACTCTGGAGAGCTCGCAAGGATCTGCGCTTCTTTATCTGAAGCGAAGAAATATGCAGCCAACGAGAAACAGGAGCAGTTCTTGTCTCAATACATCGAAAGCTTCAGAACAGGCGATCTGGAAGTCTATCGTAATTCGCAGCGAACATGGATTACGGATAAGAGCCCTCGTGTTGAGAATATTTTCGGCTTTGTGGAACCTTATAGAGATCCATACGGGATTCGCGCAGAATTCGAAGGTTTGGTAGCAATCATGGATCTCGAGGAGACATCCAAGTTAACGAAGCTTGTCGAGAGTTCTAGCATTTTCATCAAGAGGCTTCCTTGGGCTGGAAATGATGAGAACGATGGCAAAGGACCCTTCGAAAAAGCTCTTTTTGAGCCGCCGGATTTTACTAGCATTCACTGTAAGTTGGAAAGATAAGAAGTTGGCACCACTGACTAATGTATAGCTCTCGCATACTGCTCGAGTATCATCTTTCCGGGTATCAACTTACCAAATGTATGTGCACAAGTTCAATACATCGGCTAGCTATTAAGCGGCTACACAGTACAATGACATCCGTGACGAGTTCGGTTTCAAAAACGTAATAATAGCAAACCGCATGAGTGCTGAAGGGAACAAAGCACATGTGAGCCCCTTCATCGACCCTGCTGAACTCGACTCCTTCCAAAGAGCAAAGTACCCTGCCTACTACTGGTGGGTCGTTCTTCACGAACTCCTCGGCCATGGCACCGGAAGAATGATGGCCGAAGAGTCGGAAGGCAAGTTCAATTTCGACATTCATAATCCGCCAGTAAGTCCCTTGTCTGGTAAGCCTATCACGACTTGGTACAAGCTGGGACAGACGTGGACGGGCCAATTCGGCGATTTGGCTACAACTGTGGATGAGTGTAGAGCGGAGCTTGTGGGCGCTTATCTTATGGATGATGTGGAGTTACTAGAGTTGTTGGGGTATGACGAGAATTCCGAGATTACGGCCGCAGATTGTAAGTATAAGAGGTGGTACAAGAAGAGTACTGCTAACAACTATACAGTGACATATAACATATACTTGCAGCTTGGAACAGATGGACTTCGTGGACTGGCAAATTTCAACGTTGAGCATAGGGTAAGACAACCACCTCCTCCAACGCATATGCTCGACGAAACGTACTAACGTTTCCGTTCTAGAAGTGGGGCCAGGCCCATAGTCGAGTAAGATATACCCATATGACTACATTGCAAACCATGGCTGACGATCATAGGCTCACTTCGCGATCCTGAAATGCCTTTTGACCGACAGCAATGGTTGCGTCACAGTAGACTACAATCCGCAAAGTAAAAGTCTCATTGTACGTGTTGATCGGTCAAAGATCGTCTCGCATGGCAAGCCTGCACTCGGTCGCATGCTACTACGATTGCATTTATGCCGTTGTACTGCGGACGTCCAATCATGCCGCGAATACTACGAAGAGCTTTCATGGGTCCATGCAGAACACCTCGCATGGCGGGAGATCGTTCTAGCGAAACAGGAGCCGAGGTGGGTGTTCGTTCAGGCGAACACCTTTCTCCGTGGTGAGGAAGTGGTCCTGAAGGAGTATGCGGCGACTGCAAAAGGCGTGATCCAAAGCTGGGCTGAGCGACAAGTTTGAGCGGGATTAAGGTTGCTTTATCTGAAGACTGACTTGTACAATTTGGAGAATAACCTGCACGAAAGCAAGAATGATGGCAATTCCACCAAAGATCAGGACAGCCCAGAAGGTGAACCACGATGCTGAATCTCTTTTATCGTCCCACAATTCTTTCCACGTCCTTGGACGTTTGTTGGAGAAATGGTGTGCGAGGACTGCCAGTCGGCTTCGCAAGATAGGAAAGTCTTTACTTAGGACGTAGGAATCACGTTCTGGTAGCTGGGTCCCGAAGTTGCTTTGTTTTCTGCCGCACAGTTCCGATAGACTGCGGTCTTTACATCTTTCAGGCAAGTCTCCAAACGGATTCAACGAGCGGAACAGCCGCCGAGACGCTTTGTTCTGTCCAAACAGTAGGCGGTAAGAAAGTAAGGTTTCTCGAAGTAGGTCGTTGATATCCTCATGGGTTGCCCAGTACGATGCAGCCATAGGCGGAGCTGCACAAGAATGAATTGTTGGCTTCGTCTGGTCCTTCTCCTGGCTAAGCAGATTGATTGCGCAGAATGTCGGAAATCGGAAGAGGTAGAGCGTACTCGAATCAGCGTCAAACTCGAGGTGACATGCTAGGCTATCGGTCCATTTGATCTGGATACCACCAATACTGGTAAGAAGATGCACATTCAACGAGTCCGGCGTTACGGCTTTTGTTGCCACTAGAGCCCGCTTGTCGTCATCTGAAGCCAGCGTGTTGAAATTGTAACATGGCAACAGTACGCCAAATCCCATAAGGAACTCATACAAAGTTTTCCTCGACGCGCCTTGGTCTTGCCGCAGGTTCATGTAGGCATACCCACGATGTCCATCAGTCTCGTCCGCGATGGCCAGCTGGGCTCGAGGGCAAGATCCTGTATCCGGCTTGTACAACATCGTTTGCCACCCGATTATCGCGAAGACAAGGTTTGTGGCGTGGCTCAGAGCCTCAGTGTCATCATGCATCTTTGCCAATTTCTTGTCAAAAAGACAAGTGACAATACTGTCAATGCTGGAGTCGCTCGTTGAGGCCTGAACCCACACTTCGTGCCAGATGGTGGTGAATGCCATCATTGGGATATCGTTTCGTTTCGCTTCAGTTTCTTGGAGGACAGAATAGAGATCTCGGGGCTGGGACTCCATCTGGTAACGGACCCAGCAGTCGTACCAACAGACGTCGTACGGATAGCTTCCGAAAGAGTCGTCATCAAGTAAGGCAGTCGGTTTGATGACGAATCCATCGGGGACTGTAAGATCTGAAGCCAAATGTCGCGTCAGCGCTACCCATTAAGTTTGTCGCATGGCTCACCTGTCGATGCATCCCTCTTGAGATGGTGCGTTTGCGATAGGCCATGGCGTATGTATACGCGTTGAGCAATTCTACTTAGGTCAATCTGTTGCTTCGTCTCTTTTAGTCGTGCCATATTCAAGATCGAGTATGTGGGCCTATCCTCTGGATGACGAGTTGGCGGTGGTTCTAGTTTTATAACTTCGAATGCCTCAGCCTGTCGAGACCTGGGAGGTGGCATTAGGGTCTTACATCGACAGACAAGTGGCCCAAGCTTATGGTTTCAAGTTCGAGCTTTCAGGAGTTGTACGATTCGAAAACAACAAACGCACAGCCTCTAGTCCGTGCTTCCGCTACCCGCCTGTAGCCGCGGGCGCTAAAGGAAAGTGGGGGGAGGCCTCCAATGATCGTGCGCTCTCGCTAACAACACAATGCATGGCGAACATGATACCCACCAAGGGGGCGCAGGCAGCTGTGCCGCATCCTGCTCGTCCGAAGAAAACTCTGCCTTGCCTCCTCTTCCTATCGCTGCCGCTACGTACTGGCTGGTCCTGTCGACATTAATGATGAGCGCTAAAGCAAGAAAGTATGAGGCGTTTCACAGATCATGTAAGCGCTGAATACTAACAACCGGACAGAGAAGAACGAACTGCAAGCCCTCTGTGGCATCGTGCCCTGGAGCGATATCGAGAGGAGCTTAACCAAAACGAAGATTACCAGTCTGTCACCGAGATTGCGTCGCTCGATGATCTCCTGAATTACACCAAAACGATCGAGAAGAGCCTCCCTCGAGATCGAAATGCATTTGGCTCCTTGCAGCGCCTTGGCCCAGCGCTAAAGTTCGTGGATGATTTTTCGGCCGTGATTGCGGTTTGTTTCGGGGCTGATGCTAAACTGACAGCCTTCGTATGGGGCAGCATACGCTTAATGTTAACTTTAGCGTCATCTGCAGGCGATACTTTCAAAGATGTTCTCGATATGCTTGAAGAGCTGAGCCTTACATTGCCGAGGCTTAGGACCTATGAGACCAGTCTTGAAATGGATCGGGTACTCGAAGCTGCTCTCGTCGATGTTTACACCGAAGTCATCTGCTTTTACGCACGTTGCATTCACTTCTTCCGATCACACCCACATGTACTGTTACGACGCGGTGCATGGGAGGACTTTCGCGACGATTTCGCTCGCACACTCAAACGTATCCGACGGCTTTCTACAACGGTAGAGAATGAAGCGGACTTTGCTCGCATGAAATGTGACCGCGGGAAGTACGATGAAGTTCTGGGGTTAATGGAGAAGTTCAAGGAGACCAAACTTCAAGAAGATGGGCCAAAGCGATATCAAAACATCCCTTCCACGCTCAATCCCAGGTTCTGGGGCAGAGAGGATGTTTTGAACGCTCTCCAAGAAGCTCTGTCTCCAGAGCAAAAGTCCTGTCAACTCAAGACCTTTGCACTCTACGGCATGGGAGGTGTTGGGAAGACTCAGATTGCTTTGCAATACGCCAATCGTCACCGAGAATCGTATAAAACCGTTCTTTGGGTCAGTGCTGATAACGTCATAAATATGGGGCAGAGTTTTCGCGAGATTGCGAAGTTGCTCGGGTTGTCCCAAACCGAGCAGGAAGTGCAAGACACGCAAGGGTGTATGTTAAAAGTCAAGAACTGGCTTACTGAAGCCTGTAAGTGCCGCTTATGACCTTCACTCCAGAACAGAGCCTTTACACTACATGGAAAATCTTCGGAAGAAATAGATAGGATGACTGATCAGGTACTAGCTGATCCTTGGATTCTCATTTTCGACAATGCGGATAATCTTGAGGTACTACGGCACGCCTGGCCCACGAACGGCGCAGGATCGGTGCTACTAACCACACGGGATGCGAATGCGGTTCACAGTCCTGCTTCAAAAGGCTTTCACGTTCAACCATTCGACGTCGCGGTCGGATCGGAAGTGTTGCTTAACTTGGTGGGCCTCGATTGTACCTCAACGTCGAACCGCGAGAAAGCCGTCGAGATCACAAAAGCCCTTGGAGGCTTGCCTTTGGCTCTCACTCAAGTCGGAGGCTTCATCGTGCAGCGGAAGCTACCTCTTCGAGACTTCCTCCCACTGTACGAGCGCAACGCGTCCCGAATCGACGCTCGTAAGACTAGCATAAGTGATTACGAGCATACCTTGAGTACAGTGTGGGAGATGTCTATGAAGAGGCTTGAGGGAGATGCTCGTATCCTGTTCGACATGATGCCATACTTTCAGCCGGATGGCATAGATGAGATAATTTTATCTCAAGGATCGAGGTCTCTTCATGAGCCTACTTATGAATTCCTTCAAGACGATATGGAGTAAGCCAGTGCAACAATTTTAGCTTTGGTTTGGTCTTACTAACATATCCATTCAGTTTGGGAGATGCAGAAGAAGTTCTGCTAAGGACCAGTCTCGTGAACAAGAATGCGGAGAATGCTGTTCTGTCTATTCATCGTCTTATACAAGCAACCATTCTTCGTAACCAGTCTCCCGATGCCCAAAAGAAGATCTTTGACATCGTTGTCCGTATCCTTAGCTGGGGCTTCCCTAATACGTGGAGTGAGGACATCGGCCACCAATTCCAGTCATGGGCAAATTGCGAAAAATGCCTCCCACATGTCAATCACCTAGTGGCACAACGAGAGAGGCATAAGATAGGACTTGCTTGTCCTCAAGGATATGGCGAATTGCTTCTGCGATGTAGTTGGTAAGCACCTGAGAGGTCATGACTGCATTGTTTGCCATGCTCATCTTTTTAGGTACCTCTATGAACGGGAATGCTATGATATCGCTAAATCATTGATCAATGCGGCTCTGGAGACCTTCGAAGATAAAAGCACTCTCTCCTATGCCAGTGCAGTCGACCTATTGGGCCTCCTTGACCTGGACATGAACAATCCAGACAAAGCGCTGATCCCGTTCGAAGAGGCATTTGCAATCCGCAAAAGGCTGTTGAAACCAACGGATGGCATGATTGCATCAAGTCTCAACAACATAGCGCTCGCGTACACCGAAATGGGCGAACTTGACAAGGCCTACGCCACACACGAGGAAGCCATTAGTATCCGACTCGGTACGAACAGTGACAGGATCGGTAATTCTTACAGCAATATGTCCAGCTTGCTCTTGAGAATGAACAAGCCCGATGAAGCGGAGAATATGCTCAAGCGATGTCCATCGCTTAAAGATTTCACGGATGAGACGTTCATCAAGACCGGAAATCCGCGCTTTTCAGGGGATATGGTCCTTCTTTCTCGTATACGAATCAAGCAAGGCAGACTCGACGAGGCTCTTCGTCTTGCATCGAAAGCTCTAGCTTTTCGAAAGAAATTGCTAGGAAACCGCCTGAAGACGTGCGATTCGTTGTACGACGTGGCATCTCTGCTGCACATGCACGGTAACTCCGCTTCTGCCATGTGAGTGGATATCGCCTAAGTTGTGACGCTTAACAATCACTGATAGTCTTGTGACAGTGAGCTACTCAGCCAATTAACGAATATTGCGGGTTCTATACCTGAGGGCAAGGGTCAGCTTGCCAGAGCTTATTACAAACTTGCTGTTCTCCAGCACGAAAGAGGAAGACATGAGGAAAGTCATACCTGCAAGGAGATGGCGGAAAGTCTGAGGGCTGAATTGAAACCAGATGCTGAGGGAGCAGCATTCATCGAAGAAGAGTTTGTGAAACTCTGTGTGTGGATGTTGTGGTAGTAAACTGAAAAATAATGTATAAGCGCTTTAGTAGGCTTTCGAGACTTCAGATAATACTATTGTAGGCTCACGGGAGTCGAGGGCTCGACAATGGAGCGGCATCCTCTGCGGGAGCCCAAGTGGGAGCCACGGCTAGCCTGGCACAAACCATGATTGATATAAAGTAGATCTGTATCTGAAAACGCAAAATCTGCCTCCAGGATGTTCTTGCTGAAAAAGAATTGGTACACTTATGTCGAACTGACAAAGTGGGAATAGGCAAGCTCCAGTTGTTGCTTTGTCCCTCGCTGTCCTCCAGCGTTATCCAAGTTATACGCTTGACCATACCTAGCTATCTCTTATTGACTAACCCAGGGATGGATTTGTTTGGGGTAGCGACACAGCGACGAAGCTTCGAAGGACGGAAACCGTGTTCGGCTGCAAGTAGCAGAAATCGATCGATGTGGCGGCAAAGGAACTGTAGGGCCAATGCTTCTTCACAACCTGCTGGTCCATCCACAAAGCTTCGGTATCTTCCCAAAGAACGTCGCAAAAACGTTCCGGATGATCGATCCTTAAGTTATCCTCCACACCAGTCCTGAGTACAGAATCCACATTCCTCAGGTCAGACGTATCCGCAAAAATCCCTGTATTGAACGTCCATGGCGACTATTGAAAAGAGGCGGTGCGCGAGCGATCGGAAGGTGGGAGGTGTGGCGTCAAAGGTTTAGTCTCAGTCGTAACTATCTACTCAGCAGGACGTACATAGACTTTCTGCCAGATATTGGTATCGGGTTCATTGTTGAGCGCTGCAGCGAGAAAAGGCATGACGCGCCGTACATCGTGATCGCCGTACATCGTGATCGCCGATGTTGATAGCTTGGTTAAGTTGGGAGAGATCGCCAAACAGTTTTTTTTCCACCGCTACTAGGTGGCAACGAACGGAAGTCAGAGAGTGCTTGCAGTGCAAAAACGAGGTTGATAGGTTGGTCCTGGAGACCTGTATTGATTAGAGGAGCAGCATAGAAGATCCGAATCTTCAACCCTTGTTTTCGTTACCTGACCGGCCTAGCACCGTCGTGCGACTAGACCCATCAACTCTCTGTAGGAGCGACTGGATAGAGTTGCGAAACACATCCAGCCCGTGTGCAATTGGGTTTGCCGTAGTTGTCGCTGATCGCGTTGTATCTGTTATGGTGACAGGGCGCGACAAGCAACGTGCCTAGCGGCTAACCGCGTACGATGGCTGTAGAATGAGCGGCGGAGATCCATGTGAGCCTTGCGCTATTGGCTCTGAAAGAAGGGAGCGTGAGGTTTGGTTGTTCCGGGATTGAAACAGGAGGTTATGGAGGAAACTGGCGGAGTGCACAGGCAGCGTTGAAGCCAGCCCAGGATTCCTGACGGCGTTTGGTGTTCATCGGTGAAGCGATGCACCGATGGACCAAGGGGTGGGGCACGTTGCAGGGACACTCCGCAACCCTTCGCTTGGCACATGGGTTGTACAGAGGCGAAAAGCTAATCAGACTCCCTAACATCTTCATATTAACCCATACTAGGATTGAAAGATCTCATCGTCGACCTTATTGTAGCTTTTCCCGGTCTATCGGTTGCTCGATCACTCACATCGGTTACTGGTCGCGGGACGCTTCGTAGTGATCTCTTACAACTTGAGCTCTCAACTGAGTCTGATATGCCCTTACAGTACACGACGCTCTGTAAATCGCCCTTTCTGCACCATCAGATCGCGTAATCAAACAAGGACTGCTTCTTGGTTTTTAGCATGGTGGTGATCGCATGATTATGCCTTGTCAGCCTTGCCCGGCCAGCCTCACGTCACGGCGCAGGCAAGCTGCGCCTCCTGCCCTGGGTGTTGGAGATGCAACCTGCTCCAACTATCAGCTTGTCGCACTGCAGCCCTTCGAGGCCAGTCTTCCTCACTACTAACTTAGCGAACCGTTACTTGGCGCTCGCAACAAACCCAATAGCTACGATCTTCACGTCCTGCGCGAGCGAGCCCCATGCGCTATCGGTTCCCTTCAGCCTACTTCGAAGCTCCGAGACTCCATTCTACCGCTCGCGCATAGAGACACATACACATCCCGATGCGGTTGCTATATACTACAGGCGATTGGAGGCTCAGGTGGACCGAGGATTTGATCAGGGAAAAGATCCCCCGTATGCGATCCTGTCGCACACCTGGAAAGAAGGGTAGGAGGTGACATTTGCCGATCTGAACGATCTAGACGGATCAGTAGATACCGGTGCACGAAGCAAGGAGGGATAGCAGAAGCTTCGCTTCTGCGCTTAACAGGCTAAGCGGGACGTTTTGGACTACTTTTGGGTGGACACCTGCTGCATCGACAAGGCAAACAACAGGGAGCTTTCGGAGGCGATCAACTCTATGATCCATTGGTACCATAACGCGGAGAAGTGCTACGTATTCCTTTCGGACGTCGAGAACAACTGTTTGAAGGGAATGGGCAGTTGTCCCCAAGATGGAAGGCAGCTTTTCGGAAGAGCAGGTGGTTCAACCGAGGCTGGACGCTTCAGGGACTACTAGCTCCTCACCCCGTCAAGTTCTTCTTTAAAGAAGGAGCACGGCTGGGAGAGAAAAGGTCGCTCAAGCACACCATATACGTAGTTACAGGAATACCTGTCGAAGCTCTTTCAGGGAGCAACTTGTCCTAGTTCGACATTGCTGAGGGGTTTCTCTTGAGCAGAGAATCGCCAGACGACACGTGAAGATGGTGCATACTATCTATTAGGCATATTCGGTGTCCACCTACCACCGATCTATGGCAAAGGCAAAGAGAAGTCATTGAAGCGACTGAAGCTAAAATTAGTGTAGGTTTCGATGGGCGGTATGTCAGCTTGACACGCTGGAGAAGTGCCGTAATCGAGCGATGTTGCGCAAGTCACTCGCTACTTGGCCGCAAACGCTGGACCAGACATACGACCACATTCTCACCGCTATAAGCGAAGAGGACAGCGAGTACGCGATGCGAATCCTGCAGTGGTTGACATTCTCTGCGCGGCTGCTGTCTGCTGAAGAGATTGCCGAAGTCGTCGCTATCGACGTAGCGCGCAACCCAGCGTTCGACCCCAACAAAGTGCTAGAAGACCGCTAGAAGCACTAAACATCTGCTCCAGTCTAATCACTATTACAACGAACAAGGTGGAAGACTGGTCAGGGCCTACACAACGCTCAAAAGCTCCGGCCTCCCCCTTCCAGTATCATTTTGATACAATATTGGATCCTACAAATTAAAGCCCCCTGCTTCAGCTCGTTCTTGTATACTTTTCAGCATGTCAGATATACTGGATTGGCCGCGGTGGAGGGTGACGGCGAGGAAGTGTTGTGAAGCATTGCCGAACAACACTGCCCCAGCGATGAAAGCCTGCGTTTCTGGAGAAATTTTGGTGCGAGAAGTTTTTGAAACTCGAGTATTATGTGTATTACTATATTTAAAAGCTTTTCGGCAATTTAAAACCATGTTTATACGTTGTAGTGTTAAGAAATACACTTTTGAATTGGTGATGTCGCATGCAATCTGTCATTTTGTTGGGAGCCCGGCACTGATTGCTCACTAAAAACGAGCTCCTTCGTAGAGCCTAAGCGGCAGAGACGTGGCGGCGGCTCTGCTGCTGTCGCGGCGTCCCCAGAAGCTGCACCAGAGGCTCTACCTAAAGTCAGCTCTCGTGCTCCTGTGCTAATTCCAAGTCCGCCTGCTAGAAGTGCCAGATAAGGAAGCCCCGCATATCTAGCTTAAAGCAGCCTAGCTGTAACCTATCGCTGCTGACGCTAGATCTGTGGCTGTGTGGCTGTGTGGCTGTGCAACATCTTTGCCAAGGGCTCTAAGTCCGGCTTAGATTGGAAGCAGGGCTGGCTAGATTTGAAAGCCCCGGCGTTTAGCACACCCAGCATCGAAACCGCGATCAGCTTCGATACGGCCATCGTGCAACTTCAAGATGCAGTGTAATGCACGACCATAGCTAACGCAAAAGCTTGCATGCTATAGAGATAACGATCGCACCGCTCTACAGCTCCGAAGACCCGCCGTTAATCTTTCGTCCGACCTACCACGTCCTCGTGCTCTCGGGCATATCGCAAGCAACACATATACCATATTGTAGCCCCATATCGCCTTTGCTCGTTGAAGAGAGTACAATGAGTTAAGAGGCGTCTAAGAACAGGGCGGGCAGGTCTCACCCAGCGGGCATGGCCAGGGACAGAGGCTAACTGGCATGATCCAGAATACTAAGATCCGAGTCTAGGCTTTTAGCAAGGGGAGTGGGTGTTACTGGGAGATCGCCGTCGGTTGACGCACACATAAAGGTGGAAAGGGTCAGCAAATCTTAGGGATACAGCTGTTGTACAGTTATACAACGAACGGCTTCCCGCATACGCACTGCAATCATTAGGGCGGAGGATATTCTGTCTCTTCGCAATGCCATTCAGTCCGGATGTCCATGGCAAGGGTGTGGCAGATGCGGGTTGGCCATCTACCTAGCTTGTGGTGGCAAATTTGCCGCACGTTGCTTTCATTACAGTGTCATAAGCATCGCCGTCAGTGTTGTGTTTAATAGACTACTATTACCGCCCAAGACATAGGCTTCAGAATGTAGCTATCTTCTTTCAATGACACCAATCAGCCAGCCATGCATCTATTTCCCTCATGATGACTCGGCACCCCATGCCACTAACAGCTTCACCACCGCCTCGTCGCCTCCAGACGAAGCCGCGTAAAGTGCGTTGCCATAGACTCCACCCTGCGCGTTGACGTCGGCGCCCTTGTCGAGCAGCAGCCTCACCACCGCCTCGTGTCCTCTGTACGAAACTGCTGCCTGGAGTGCGTTGCCGTAGAGTCCACCCTGCGCGTTGACGTCGGCACCCTTGTCGAGCAGCAGCCTCACCACCGCCTCGTCGCCTCTGTACGAAGCCGCCTGAAGTGCGTTGCCGAAGTGTCCACCTTGCGCGTTGACGTCGGCGCCCTTGTCGAGCAGCAACCTCACCACCGCCTCGTCGCCTCTGTACGAAGCCGCCTGAAGTGCGTTGCCGTAGTGTCCACCCTGCGCGTTGATGTCCGCGCCCTTGTCGAGCAGCAGCCTCACCACCGCCTCGTCGCCTCCAGACGAAGCCGCCTGAAGTGCGTTGCCGTAGTGTCCACCCTGCGCGTTGACGTCCGCGCCCTTGTCGAGCAGCAGCTGCACCACCGCCTCGTGCCCTTCAGACGAAGCCGCCTGAAGTGCGTTACCGTAGTGTCCACCCTGCTCGTTGACGTCGGCGCCCTTGTCGAGCAGCAGCCTCACCACCGCTTCGTCGCCTCCTTCTGAAGCCGCCTGGAGTACGTTGCCATAAACTCCACCCTGCGCGTTGACGTCCGCGCCCTTGTCGAGCAGCATCTTGACGACCGCTTCGTGGCCTCCAGACGAAGCCGCCTGAAGTGCGTTGCCGTAGTGTCCACCCTGCGCGTTGACGTCCGCGCCCTTGTCGAGCAGCAGCCTCACCACCGCCTCGTGGCCTTCAGATGAAGCCGCCTGGAGTACGTTGCCATAGACTCCACCCTGCGCGTTGACTTCGGCGCCCTTGTCGAGCAGCATCTTGACCATCTGCTCGCAGCCTCCACCTGAAGCCGCCTGAAGTGCGTTGCCGAAGTATCCACCCTGCGCGTTGACGTCCGCGCCCTTGTCGAGCAGCAGCCTCACCACCGCCTCGTCGCCTCCAGATGAAGCCGCCTGGAGTGCGTTGCCGTAGTGTCCACCCTGCGCGTTGATGTCCGCGCCCTTGTCGAGCAGCAGCCTCACCACCGCCTCGTCGCCTCCAGACGAAGCCGCCTGAAGTGCGTTGCCGAAGTGTCCACCCTGCGCGTTAACGTCCGCGCCCTTGTCGAGCAGCAGCTGCACCACCGCCTCGTCGCCTCTGTACGAAACTGCTGCCTGGAGTGCGTTGCCGAAGTATCCACCCTGCGCGTTGATGTCCGCGCCCTTGTCGAGCAGCAGCCTCACCACCGCCTCGTCGCCTCCAGATGAAGCCGCCTGGAGTGCGTTGCCGTAGTGTCCACCCTGCGCGTTGACGTCGGCGCCCTTGTCAACCAGCAGCTTTACTACCTGCTTATGCTCATTTTTTGCCGCCAACAACAGCGGTGCCTCTTCATCATCGTTTGTGGCCTCTATGTTGGCTTTTTCCCTCAACGACTTTTGCGCCGTCTCCTCTTGGCCATGTTGGGCAGCCCACAACAGCGCTGAGCTTCCAGATTGTTGTACATTGTAGCGGTAGAGGTAGCTATCTAGGAGACGGTAAAGGTGGCGGTTGGCTTGTGCAACGGCGTTGATATCTCTCTCGGATTCTAGGTATTCCGATATATCCCGGAGCAACTCATTTGGTAGATCAAGCAGTAGCATTGCTGAAGTAGCACTTGTCTGCTTTACTAAATTCAAGGTAGTGATGAAAACAACCGCCTAGCAAGCATCATAAGCAGGTGTGAAGCGGGCAAAAAATTCCAGATCAATAGTAGGCACGTGTTGTGAAGAAAGCCCAAAAAGAGAGAGTTGAGGACGATGGTGGAGCAAGCGGCGGCAGGGTGTCTCGCTACGCAAGGGCGGACGTTAGTTACAAAGTCAGCGTGTTTACTTGGCAGCGAACTAAACTTCAACGAATTACGTCGTGCGTCATAGATGGTCAGCTAAAAACACGACATACCTACATCCCGGAATTAAAACCACCCCACACCGGGAGCTAGATTGAGCCCCACCAAGATGCAGGAGCGGCCACTGTTGGCCCTGACATTATTACGCCATCGGGCTCGTCACTAGCCAATAGTTACGTCCCTTGGCACTGTTGCTGAGTCAACCGAAGCGGCCAAAGCGTCAGGACTCCTAAACCGCGAGCAGTCGTCGCGACAGCACTTGTGCGACGCCGCGATGCCGTGCGACATACTGCTATGTCTTCGACACGAAGATCTCGAGAACCGACTCAGAAGATTACACCGCCCTCGAGTTTTGCAGACCTACCGTTAACGCCGCCGCCAACCGACGAGAAGCTGTTCGCGCAAGCTCTTCGAGTCATCGCACTCTTCGACGAAATCCGAGCTGGAAAGCACAGCAATCGAGACCCGTGGACGGAGTTCTCGCTTGTGCCAGGGGAGTTTGATAGGGTACAGCGTCTGCTCGACCAAGACGAGGAGCTGCGAAAGTTTGTGGAGGACAAGATACGGTGGGTGTGCTTAATACACAGTAGGCATGGCAGCTAATACGAGAGGCGGGTAGATATGACTACGACGCCGAAAAGCACCGGCTTGTTGTTCGCATGCCTACAGCCGTGCACGAAGTGTTTATCGCTCGGGTCGAGGACGCAGTCTTCAGTCAACTAAAATTGTTCCGTGAGGGATCGGACGACGCGGCGGCTTTCGCGCAGAAGGTGAATCCAGCTCGGTCTACTGAGATATATTTTCCAGTTGACAACGCTTCGCCTCGCAAGGAGTCGAAACACGAACCCGACGCGTCTTTCTGGCACGACAAGGCACATTATCCTGGGGTTATCATTGAGGTCGCATACTCACAGAAGAAAAAGAGACTGAGCCGACTAGCTGAAGACTATCTTTTAGATTCAGATGCAAATGTACGAGCCGTTGTCGGGTTAGACATTGAGTATGGCAAGAAAGGTTCGCGCAAGGCGACATTGTCCGTGTGGCGAACCCGCGTGTTCCACACTCCTGCAGGAGATGAATTAAGAGTGTTCCAAGAGATTGCAGATGAGGTATGCTGAGGTGCAAAAAACTTGCTTACGTTGCCATGGCTGACAATCTACTCAGACGTTCCGCGATCATGACGGGAAGCCTACCGACCATCAAGGCATGCGGCTACGCCTCAGCGATTTCGCTCATAAAGGGTTGGTGAGGGACGAGATCGGTAGCCAGGATAAGGACTTGACGGTCTCTGCTCAACAGCTCTGCTCCTTTCTGAGCGCAGCGGAGGTGAGAGCAGACCGGAGAGGATCGCTGAGTAAGGATCCGATCGCTCCTGGGATCAAGAAGCGGAAGAGATCAGAGACACCTGAAGACAGAATCGCATCCGGTGATGAAGCATGGTATGTTGAGCAAGAGGAGAGGACAGCGAAGCGCATAGCGGGCGATGATCCCGATTACGAAGATCGATCGCGAATGAAAAGCTCCTCAGAGTAAATACACCAGTACTGTTGACCACTCCACAGGATCTTGCATTGGCGCCTGCTTATGCGACCTCGCTTGTCTTAACCGTGGCCCAACATACCGTACAAACACGCTGTCCGATGCAGTCTTGTCACGAAACTGATCTTGACGATGGTCTCACTTTACACTGTGTAGCTGCTCGTGACCCTGTGACCGGAGCGGCTCAGTCGCCTTCCCTGCATCGTTGTCAGGGCAGCAACGGGTCAGGGTCTTGGTTGTACATCCCTAGCTTGCTTATCGATAACGACGAAACTCTGGGCGCGATCCCTCGACTATGGCACTGCGACGTCTGCAGCGTTTCGCAGTCATTTCTTGATCTACGCCAAAACACCCAATGCCTCCAGGGCAGCCGTGATGCAGGTGATGCGAGTAAAGTGTAGATAAATGGTTCGCATGGCAGTGTTGAGGTTTGGTGATTGAGCGCTTAACGTAAAGGAACGTTGACTGCACCTCGCTGCACCGCCCAGCAGCAAGGCTCTCGGTCATCATTGTGGTTGATTAGCAGGGCACATGCGGAGCAACAGGGCCCAAGAGCAAGCCTGTATGTCTCCATATTGACATTAAAACTGCACCATATCGGAAACTAGAACAGAACCCTCGGAAGCTAGCCAAGATAAGGCCGTGCGTGAGCCACGACTGTTTTTTTGCTTGGTGTTGTTGCGGTTTCGCGTTCGGCGCACCACGAGCCACAATTCCGTCTTTGGCCTCGGCGGTTGCGAGGCTGTGCCTGAGCCAACGAAAGCGCCCAGCTTCTAAACCGCGACTGGTCTACGCGAAAGCCATTGTGCAACTTCGTGATGTAGTGCGACAAACAGCTATAGCTGGTTCGCAGACTCGTCTAGCATCACATTTACAGGGCACTCCGCCTTCGAGTTTTACTAGCCACCTTTTGATGCTTTTGACGACCTACGAATAGCCTACTATGCAAGCAACCTGAGTTCCTATGCGTTGCAAAGATGCCGAGCGAAGACTTGCCAGGCAATACCGCTGGACTGAGACTCAAGCGCTTCTGAATGCAGAACTTAGTGAATGTGTGTGCGATAAATGACTGGGAAAGCCGAGATTGAATACCTCGCCGAAGAGTTCCCCGCAATCGGGTGTTCTAACATTAACGTGCCTTGCTTCCGAACTTCGCCGCCGCGGTTCCAACCGCCGCTGACGATCGATTACGCCACGCGATGGCGATGCGACGAAGACTCAGCGTCACCAAAAAACGCACTCGAACAAAAACACATAGCTCACTGACGATATCCCCAGAACCAGGACGCCAGCACAGTTGGGACGTTGCAACGCCAGTGAACGCCGAGATACAACACAAGCCAAGAAAGGATCCACGCATTAGACCTAACAATCTAAGCAGCCGCTGTCTATGAGGGGACTGGACGCAAGGTAATCAGATTTCAAGAGCGTTTAACGGTCAACACTAACGTAACCAACGTGCATCATTTCTCAACCAGTATGCGCCCGTCACGACACGATATCTGCTCGGACGATGTTCTGCCTAAGAATTCGAGTGACAATGGGCTGATACCAACAGCCAGGAAAGTGACACCTAACACCGATGGTGTTGAAAGAGAGCATCTCGATGTAGAGGAGGCTGTGAATCTGATACACCAATCTTTGGGATCGGATAGGTGGTCAAGTGAGATTAGAAATATCAACGTCGACTTCGTGCGTCTTCAATTCGCAGATAGATTGCTAGGTACTGACGTTCAACAGGCCGATTCAGATCCAAACACAGGACGGACATCAGTGGGAGTGTCGATAATCATTCGGATAACACTCGCAAACGGCACCTTCCACGAGGTCTGTCTATGAACCCTATCACTGAGGTGTAATGCTTATGTGAGTAGGGCATCGGCTATGGACATGTCACAAACTGTTGTAGTAAAGGGATGGCTTTTCGAAAGGCAAGGGAAAGTGCCGTCATTGATGGCCTTCAAACCGCGATTCAGTACTTCGGTGGTGTCTCTAAGCAACACGTTTTGACTCCTGGTTTAAGCGGTGATAGTTCTAGATTATCCGAACTAGGTAAGGAATGGGTCTACTCACTCATGTTTTGCAGTATACTGACTAGAAGAGAAGTGTATGATAGTGCGTTACTAGGGATAGAAGTGCTTGGTGAAACAAAGACGAATGATTCGGGTCCATCACGGACGAACTATCACGGACGAACTCCGCTGAAGGCGAATTTGGCAGCGACCTATTTGAGGAGATCGAAGCGAATGACGTGTTAGCATATGCAAGTGAGGAGGGTACATAGACTTAGCACACCGCTTGTTTTCCTGGAGCTACTTAAACAGCATATAACGTTGGCCATGTCTGGTCTAAGTGATGCTAAGCTTTCTGCGGCTTTGTTGCAGCATGCCCGGACGTGACATTTACGTGGAATAAGTTGGGGTTACAGCGGGCCGGATGTGTCGCCAAGAGTCCCTCGATTCAGCCTCTCTTGGTAAGTCTCAGCAGCTAGAGATTCCTGGTCGTAAACTAACAATGTTCCAAGATCGAGAGAGCTCCATGTCGAGCCATAGATCGGGCTCCACCGATGCGCAGGAGTGACCACTATCCTGGAACAGGCGTTATTGCGGGTCAGGTTGCTGAGTCGACCGGTCTCGGGATTAGCCGGCCAAGTCCGTGCTTGTCGAATCCAGTTCACGAACAGCGCCCCGCAGCAACCTCATCATCCATCTAACACGCCCTCCATGCTGCATCCTCGTAAGCACCGTCAATGTCGACTTCTGCATCGCCTTCCCTACCAGTAGACTGACTTGCGACAAACACTGCAAGCGCGCAGTGCGTTACACCACCATCAAGCTTCATCGGACCTCCAACCCCACCCGCAACCGACGAAAGGTTTCCCCACACCGAAAGCGTTCTCGCACACTTCAGAGACATTAAAAGTGGGTTCTGAAGACCCTGTGGAGAGCAAAAATGTATACAGTTTCGGCTTGCGCAGGGCGAGTTTGACGAGATACTGTGGTGCCTCAAGAGCGACCCAGACTTGGATGGATACGCGAAGCACAAGATTCGGTGGGTAGGGTTCTACATTGCCCGAGCAATGGTACACATGGAGGAAATCGCCCTCGTACAAGTTTCCTCTTATTTTAATCCCGGGCACCGATATCGATACCACCGGACATGATGTCGTGCAGGCGACTCATACTCCAGATATCGCGTTTCGCCACGAGGAAGATGCATTGCCTGGCACCATCATTGAAGTAACATACTCTCAAGCACAAAGGGATCTTAGAAGGCTAGCATACACCTACTTGGTGCTCTCGAATGCAACGGTGCAGGTAGTTTTGGGCTTCGATCTCAAAGGCAGGCCCACCCAGAGGGCGACCTTCTCAGTCTGGCGGAACAAAGACGAGGGTGACGTGCTGAGTATGGTCACCACAGACTATGATCATGTACGTGATTGTCACCGGTTGGTTCATTCCCTGCTAACACATTCCAGGAGTTTCGTAACACCAATGGCGGTCCTTCAAGTCACGAACCACTACGTATTCGACTCCAAGACTTTGTGATGGACGACACTGTACAAGAGATGTTAGGTGACGATGATGCGGAGCTGTCTATCACCATGGATCGACTCTGCAGCTTTCTTTCAACGGCATAGAAGAAAGAGACTGATATAAAGACAGGGACACTGCGGACGAAGAAGATACGTCCCAGCAAAAGGAAATTGCCGTTGGAAGAGACGCCTGAGCGGCCCATCACAGCAAAGGATGAGGAGGGATGGCAGCATGAGGAGGCGCGAGCGACCAAGCGTGGGAGTTGGGGTCATGAAGCTTACTCAAGGCCACGCAAACTAGCTGCAGGACTCTCACGGCGCAAATCAGGTCATCTGGGAAACACATCGTAGCCTTACTCATGCATGAAGTCGCCATCAGTAGTCTAGGCTCACATCCTGGAAGTCTGTGTCCATTATTACCCGAATTTGGCCCATGGAAGAGGATTCTAGAGGGTCTCCGACCATATCAATCTCGACAGAAAGGACTTTCAAGGCTTCGTCCAGTGCAAAGAAGCTTGTGTGAATATGTTACCTACGGCCTACGTATGGTCAAACTTTTCCGCGTCGACAGTCTTGGTGACTTTTCCTTCACTCCTCAATTCCACCGATCAGCTATCACGAAATATTCCTCACCGGTACTATACGGATAGAGGAAGGTTCTACGCCATGGAGACAAGCTTGAGAATCTTGGTAGAGATCTAGGACAGAGCGCCTTTTGCCACCCTAGAACTTATTTAGTACTGTACATGGGGTCGTGTGTATATCAGGCATGAGCCGTAATTCTGGTTGATTCCCTATAGCCGTGGCGGACGGACTGCCAGCGAAGGCGATACGCGAGAACTTTAGCAATTTTCTTGGTTCAAGTTACGATTTCGAACAGAGTAAGATTTGAAGGTGATGTTGTGGAGAGCTATACAGGTTTGAAACGTATGGGCCCGGACATTGGCCCTCACTTGGCGAGGAAGCGTGATCGCATCTTGTTGTGGGTAACGCAATTTCATCGATCACTGACTTGAGTGACCACAACGCCCACTCCGAAGACTATATTCATCGACGCCTGAAATGCAGGTGCCCCTCAGTAGTGCGAGGGGCGTTGATTTTGGGCAGAAGTGAGAAGAGAGACGGGGATGCGCGGGGTTGCCACTAACCGTACCATCGTCCTAGGCGAGAGCCCAAAACTCGGGTACTGAGCGGGACCCGTTACCAGAAACCTGAGCGGGCCCCATTACGGGAACCAAAACGGAACCTTTGCCTAGCTAGGCCGTATCCATGCACGACGACTGCTGCATCTCAATATAGACCGTGAACCTATTGTTTAGAAATACAGTCAAATTTAGATACCGCACAAATATTCACACCGAAGGAAAATCGACGTACTTGCATTGAACCAAAAGACGTTGAGTCAGGTTGCCGACGAAGACGCCGGCGTGGCACATTTTCCGCGTACGGTATGTTTGCGGCGATGGCTTTTTGCTAGGACTGGGCGTCCGAGATCCGGGAGAACGCGCATGGCGTTTCGCGCTGCGGCGCCCACGGTCGTTCAAGGAAGTGCTTCGAGGCGTCGGAAGTGCTGCCATCATCTCTGAATTGCAGACGGCCGCACAGTTTTCTACCCAGTGCTGAACTAACGTTTCAACTTCCTTGGGGTTGCGTTGTTGCGTGGAGCGTAGCGCTTCTTCGGCCAATGCAAGCATCTGCGATAATGGATATGAAAGAGGTAATGAGGATACGCGGGGCAGGGCGACGTTAGCACGTCGACAGCCCGCCGCGAGAGCTGGCAGACTAGTGAGCGCAACATCAGCTCAGCATCCTGCTTCTGCACATCGTTAAAATCTAGTCACATTCTAGTTCAATGCGGTGACGAGGCGAACTTTAGGCATAGTAAGAGTCTATTAAGTGAAAACAAACGAAAGTCTTTATCTCTCCATATAACGTGGTTCACAAGCGAGCGGCCACCCCAAGCGAGTGGCCACCCCAACACCAGTGCAGCGCACGCTCAGCAACACAGCACAACACTACAACAGAGTACTATATTGTGCGCAATACTGTAGTATTATTCAGAAGCGTCGCTATTATCTACATCCTCTATTTCTACCTTACAGGTGCGGGAGTTGTGCCCAACCTCGCTGCAACGGCCGCAGCGCCTCTCTGCGCGCACCCTCTTCGCACGCGTCTCGCCGTCCTCACACCTACCACCCTCCTTTTCAGCAATTAAGTTAGATACCTCACCAACTGTTAGAGTCTCCTCTGCGCGTACGTACCGCCTTTTGCGAGTCTTGCGCTTTGTGAGCGTGTCAACAGCGTCTCGAAGGCGGCTCACTTCCTCTCGCATCAACACTATATTATGAGCTATCTGCTGAGCGCCTTTACTTAGCTGCTTAACCTACTTATCTAATGAGCTTGCTGGTGACCCTTGGTGGTTTTGCATGCGATTTCGAATTAGCGTAGATTGCGCCTCTATCTCGCGGGCGTTGCGCGGAGTTTGCGCTTCCCAGGCGACAGTGCCTGGTGCAGGTGGCGTCGGCGTACGTAGCTGCACATCTAGCTTCGATAACACAGCCTCTGGGTCGTATGGGACTAGCCCAGCACCTCGAAACCCTGCGCGAACGTTCTCTGGTGTAAATGTCTTCTCATAAGCTGCTTTGAAGGCTAGTAGGAAGGTTTCCTTGTTGATATGGTAGACGCGGCTGCGTGCCAAGAGCGAGATCCCATCGCCATAGTGGCGCTTCAACAGCGAGTAGGGGACAACGTCAAGAGGCTGCAGAAGGTGCGATGAGTGAGGTGGCATGCAGAGAGCGATGATCTTGTTCTCCTTGCAGTAGTCCTGGAAATCTACTGAGCAGTGGCTGTCATGGCCGTCAATGATAAGCAGCCTATATGCCCCAACAGAGGACGCCTTTGTATGAGCATCGAAGTGCTTAAGCCACGCGAGCGCGAGGTCGTTGTTGATCCAGCCAGTAGGAGAGACAGTGATAATCCAATCGCGAGGTAGATCTGCGAACCAGGAGGTGATAAGAACCTTGCCTGCAAAGATGAGGAAGGGTGGGATAACGCGCCCCGTCGCAGCGACGCCTTGTACGAGGGTAACCCACTCGCGATCGCCAGGCTGTAGTTTCTTCTGTTTCCCAGGTTTCTCTGAGCCTGTAACAACAAGCTGAGAGGATATCTTGCCCATCATAAAGCCAGACTCATCAAAGTTCCAGGTATCCTCATCTGCGATACCATACTTCGCCTTCATCGATTGAACAAGCGTGAACCAGGGCCTGATAACCGCTGGATCCTCGCAGACAGCTCGCTGGTGATCGTACGGACGGCTCCATCGCGTTCGCAGCTCAGGTGTACGCTTAATGAAGTTGTCAACCCAGTTCTTGCCTGTAGGCTTTCCACCACGCTCCCTCAGCAGTCTATCAGCCATATCTCGTACGTGTGCCTTTGAGGGTGGTACACCTCGTAGAGATTCATCCAATATGCGCTGCACAATCACCTCCTCTTCTAGCTTTGTAAGGCGCTTCGAGTTCGGCTCGCATTCGCGTCGAGAGCGTTGTCCAGCGCGTCGGCGGCGTACAGTCGTTCGGGGGACGTTGTAGATTGCTGCAGCACGCTTTACACTTAGGATCTGGTTTGATTCAATATTAGAGACTGCTAGGATTATATCTCCTTCAGTATAAGCTGGTTGTACGTTGCGTTGTTGAGACATGAGACGATATTGCTGCGCGTGCGCTGCGATGGTATTGGGGTGGCCACTCGCTTGGGGTGGCCGCTCGCTTGTGAACCACGTTATAGTTAACTCACGAACGACTTATGGCACCCTCCTTTCCCAGCCAAATTCATAGAATATACCCATGACATATTCAATGGAACTTGAAGCCACCCCACTCACAGAGCGCACTCACTTGCTAAATGGTCTCGACTATTGCCTGGAAATTCCCAAATCATCAACAAGTATCAGTTGCTGTAGGCTAGGGTTACTCACATCTATAACAATGAGGTTCATTGGCATTAGAGTTGTCAACAATCAATCAGATCGGCATGATTGGTTCCTATCTAGGTATAACACTTTCCTAATCGAGGAAATACTAACCTAGGTAGGAACCAATCATGCCGATCTGATTGATTGTTGACAACTCTGATTAGCATAGTGACCGTGTTCGCCGCCTGAACCTGTCAACATGATTGAGCTCTTTGAGAACTTCTGGAAATTTACATTTGAAGCAATGGAGATCATTGGCACGATGCCCATATTCGCCATCTGCGGCAGTCAGTAAGGTCGAACGCACGCAAGTCACCAGAAACTCACATTGGTAGCAATGGGGGTCATTTGCGAAATGACCGGGTTCATCGCCTAGTATTGACAGTTAGCCCGACTTGCACCGTTTCCAGTTATACACTGGAAGTACCGACACATATAGCAGACAACGTTATATTGGGCTCTCGATCTGTATTCGCATCACTGTATCCTCGACTTTGTTGCTGATGAGAGAGCCCTTGTGATAGAGCATGTGATTCATCGGTTATAGACTCCTGGATTTGTTTTCGCAACCGTTTGAGCGCCTTCTCCTCGCCTTCTCCATATAAAAGGGGCATATGGATGTCGAAGATGCCTAGCTGACAGTATGCTATATCCTCTTCGCGTTTCGTCGCTCGTCCTCTTGCCCACGACATCCGCTCTTTGACCCTAATGTTAGACAAAGGAACTCCTTGGAGAGCTTCTGCAGGTATAGATGTGATCGCAGCAATTTGAATTGCAAGCGAATCCCTATCACCAAGTCTATCACCTTCTTTTGAGAAGAATTCTACGCATGGTGGAGCTAGAAGTTCTTGTAGTGTCCATCCCCTGGTGAACCATTTGCTCTCCTTGAACAATTTGTGAATTCCGGCGGAGCCAGTGGTTGCAACATCGGAGAGGTAAACGTAGCATTTCACCGAATTGTGGTACCAGCGGAACATGGAGTTGATAGCTTCTGAAAGCTCCGCTGAGTTTGATTTGTCGATGCAGCAGGTGTCCACCCAGAAGAGCTGGAGGCCATCGTGTGCAGCTTGCTTTGCACAAAAACTGAGCTTGCGATAGCCCACCTTGTTCTTGCCAATACCTTCCACTAAGTCTTTGAAGGTGACTTCTTCATGATCTGCTCCCCAAGTATGTGAGAGGGTAGCGTATGGCGGTGGAGGGGAGTCTCTGCCGATATATTCCACCAGGCTGTATCTGCCGTCATCATCAAGTCGTAAAAGGCGCATAGGGCAAGGGTCGTAAGCGAACACGACTGGATAAAGTCTTCCGAAAAGATGCGAGTCAGAGAAGCGGAGGCTAGATATTCAACAGAACGCAAAAGAGTTTCCAAAAGGACTCTCAGGCGGCGAATTTTGGGGTTAATGAACTGACAGGCAACAGCAACCAGGCTGAGAATAAGGTCTTCCAGCATCACGTGGTCTGACACATACCTGACAAGGAACGTCGCAACGGTTCTAGTGCTGACCATTGCCACCGCTAGCAGGGAGGGCGGCCGACCCGCACCGGCCCTGACCTTGCTTGAGGGGCGTTATGTTTATTCTGGTGTGGACAAAGAAAGAGGTTTAGATAGGCTTCATCGCCACTTGGGCAGGCTGCCAAGAGAATCCGGTCACATTTTTAGCCACAACCACCAGATCGGATCTCGGCAGGGCGAGAGGATCTGAAACCGGGAACGGAACCATTGCCCCAAAGTAACGTGTCTGCTAAGAGTGTTGCCCTCAATATCAGCGATCTTGACGTACATAGCGACCCGACATGATATGTCGCTAATGGCCATTAGGATAGCAGGGTTGAGGTTCCGATGGAGGCGTTGCCGCTATCGCAGATCCATTACATGGCAAAGTTCGGCGGAATTGCTTGGCGTACCCCGCCCGAGATGGTACCGAATATCTGTCTTGACCGAAATTCTACGTACACTTTAGAACCATAACATCTCTGAAGCTTCTTTTGGGACATAACATGGGCCTCTTAACGGGCAAGGGAATTCATCGGCCCCTTACTGAAGACCACATCCGTCTTTTAACACTTCGGCCAGGATTATTGAACGACCCCATTTACGGCGAGCTTGAACACGTTTCCCTTAGCGCTAAGCACACCTATGAAGCCTTATCATACGTCTGGGGAGACGCCAGTGATACTTCGTCTATGATTCTTGATAGGACGCTATACCCTATCACGAAAAATTTGGAATGCGCATTGGGGTATTTGCGTTCCAAGGAAGCACCGAGAGTTCTCTGGGTCGACGCTATCTGCATCAATCAAGATGACCAAGACGAGAAGTCAGAGCAAGTGCCAATGATGGGGGAGATATACAGCAGAGCCACGAAAGTCTATGCCTGGCTAGGAGAAGCAGATCGCCAAATTAATTGCATCTTTGATATTCTGCAGGAGTTTCGGGATCGCAAGAAAGAAGTCACATTTCCAACCGATTTTGACGCTGCTGAACGACTTTCTTTCTTTCAGCAACTATTCTGCGGCATCTTTCAGAATAAAGCCGGCACTTTACCCGAACGGAGCGATTTGGACGATGACATATTGCATGAAGAATTCAATTGGCTTCGTGCTTTGTATATGCGGCCTTACTGGCGCCGCGTCTGGATTGTTCAAGAGCTCGTCCTGGCAAAGGTGGTGGTTGTCTGTTGTGGAGACAAATCCATTGATTTTGACGACATTTATGGACTCAGCCTGGATTGGGGCTCCTTCGAGCAAGGCTTCGATACAGCGACTTATAAGAGGCTGAAACCGCATACGAGGGGATGGTACACCATTCTGACGATTCGCGGGCACCGACGACGAAGGGAGGTGGTGGATTGGGATATGGGAGGAGAGGCCCAATATCCGATGAGCATAAAGTTGTCAGAGCGGGGTGATGTCGCGATGCTCGATGAAGTGATTGAGATATACGCGCAACACCACGGATGCAGGGACCTGAAAGACAAAGTATACGGTTTCCGTGAGCTGGTTCCACAATGGAAAGACAACCTTGTGGTAAGGTATGAGCGCTCTGACAAGGAAGTATTTTTGGACGTTGCCCGGCTCGATTTATTCGAACCGAGAAAGCACGGGGGATGGCATGTAGCATTTTGTTTATGGCAAGCAATGGGGTTGGGAGGTCGGGAGAAGTTCAAGGACTGCATACGGGAATCGTTCCCAGAGCTTCGCGATCCCACCCCCACATCTGGCGTTGGAGATATTGAAGATTACTGGGAGTCCAATACTTGAAATTCCTAGGAAAACAAGAACTGCCGCTCGCGGAGATTGCAATGTCGCTATGAAGAACAAAGCAATTGACCTTATCTTCATACACTAGTTCTCCCCTCTAACTCCGTCGACGAGGCTCTCGTCAAAGTCGCCGATGGCGATGGCGTCGAAGAGGGGCTAAACTACCAATGTCGCCCGACCTGCCTCTAATATCTTGGTAGTGCGGAGCAGTCGTTCGCGGCCGCGTGGCGAGCGATAGCTGGTCAGTTGCACCGTGTCGCCTGCTTCGCTGCTTGTCGCATACACGAACCTGCGGCAACTCGTTAATAACATCATAGCCTTGCACGGATAGGCCGCTACCCACACTTTGCACTTCGCGCCCGAAGCATCTTTCAACAGCGCATTCTCCGCCAGGCCCTGTCTAGCAATAATCTTTTTGATCACTCGCTGCTCCAGCTCACCCGAATCGAATCGTCCTCGGACCTGGCCCGTGATCGTCGCTCGGCGTCTCTGCCTCGAGAAGACGCGGTCCAGTCCGACAATGAGAAATATGCGTCGATGCGCTCGTCTGCTGTCGTGTGTAGCCGACCCAGCATGATCGCTATGAGCCTGTGCTTCTCGTCAGCGGTGCATTCGGCAGGGTAGTCACTACAAACCCGCCAGTGCTGGTGCCCCCGATCATGTCAAAGTAGTCGCAAGGCTTCGGCGGTGATTCCGGGTCGATAGTGTCCATCAGCCGCTTCAAGATCTGCAGCGTCGACAGGCCGCGGACGCTGCCGCCATCGAGTGCAAGCAGGCGGAGGTCGCTTCCGGGCATGATTGGAGGGATGGATAGAGCTCAACGAAAGCACTAGTTTGGGTGAGCGATAAACAGGCGTGCACAACGCCAGAAGGCAACACCGCTGCGCTCAGATGAGTGTTGTCCATCTTCAGCTCGACGAGGCTGTGGATGCAGGCAGCTGCGATTGCCAAGCCATGCGGTCGTTGGACGTCTCGCGGAAACGTTCGGCCGAGGCGGGAACGATGTTTTAGAGGGAAGTCTAGAAGCTAGAGACAAAGGTCGCGGTGCTCTCCAAACCTCTCTTTCTCTTGCCATCGCGGGCAGGGAGGACGGCCGACTCGCTCTGACTCGGACCTTGCGCGAAGGGCGGTATTTTCTCAATTCAAGTGATGATGAAGTGTTCAAGATACTGTAATTTACATAGACACGAGGAATGGGTTCAATTCTAAACTTACTTGACCGACCGCGCTAGCACGCACCGCTTTGACTATGGCAGCCCAATTTAGCTTCCGTGGGGTTCTGTTCTGGTTCCCGCTGTGGAGCTGTTTGGTTTGAGACCCTGATTTAGCTCAAACTGCACCGCCATGGGGCCGTTTTGAACCTCACTACACCACCCCAGCAAGTCTGTACTATCGAGAACATCTGGCCCTGCTCCCTCTTCATTCAGGTTGACGAGAAATGAACGCCTCTTTCACTTGTTTGTGAGCTATTGTTCGGCGCGGATGAACACAGAAGCTAGAGAAGAAGCTTTTGCGCCACAGATGCCATGTACACGGAGGCTGAGAAGGTGGGTCCCAAAAACTGGGCCTCGGAACTGGATTCACAGCGGGCGGCGGGACGGAATCCATGGAAACTAGACCATCGACAGCCAGGCCACTATCCGAATCTTAACTGTTATACAGATAGGAAATATCATATTACCTAAATGATAAACTTTGCAAGGAAGACAAGTACTCCAGAATTTAGGGGCATTGCGCGCTGTCAGTAATCAATACCTACTAAGTAACATCTGTTGTCGCTAATGATATCTATTCTCTACCAGCCTTTTTAAATTAACCTTCAATTCAAACCAATCAACGCTCTGCTTATGAGAACAAAACCAGCCTAGCCCTGTTAAACCGTAACAACATCCTATGTACCAAAAGCGGGATCAGACCATTCTTGTATAGACCTGAGTAGATTCTTAAGAGAGTGTGGGAGACGGCTCTGCACTAACTCCAGGCGAGGGCATGGAAAACAAAGCAGCTGATCGGCCTGCAAAGATGCTTGCATGGAGAGCGACAGGTGGGGATGGATGGGCGGGAGGAGTGACTGGTAGTGTTTCAAGGCTTGGAGAGGATGCCACGTCCCGGAGCTGACCGGAGGTGTATTCGAACATGGTTCTGCGTATAAGTTAGTAGGGAGTACAATGAGCTGAGTAGAATAGCTAGCCATAAAAGGGGTGGGTACCTAGCGTAAGCGGTTGGAGTGGCCATCGGATAGCACGACGATCTGTTTGGAGATATTATGGAGTGGTGGTAGGAAGCAGTCGGGATTTTGCCCCGCTTCATAAGCGGATCATTTGGCAGTCACCTTACCGAACTAAGTTAAGCGTCCAGCAACGGGGCTTATTCTGGGTGTCGCCACATGTGGTTCAGTCTTCTTTTCATTGACTTAATTTCTCTCCCAGCACTATCTAGTCCAATACATCTCGATAGCATGTTGCCACTGCAGTAGGTATTCGTGAGGTTACGTTGTTGCCAAACCATCATCTCAAAGTTTAAGATTGAGGCTGTGATCCAATACAGATCATGTTGGGCTAAGCCTCGTAAGGCATCCCTGCCGCCCCACCGCTCGAGCCACCCACACGTTATTTCGCGCATGCACGCGATATCTTGGCTTGACCTTAACCTGCGAAGCTCCGGGAGTATCAAGCTAATAATTACATCCCAGTAGTTTCTCCGCGCAAACAGCAAGATCGTTGGAACGCATCCAACCGGCCGTGCGCTGTTAGCAGCTCTTAGCATGCGGCAGCTTGCAGTAGCGTGCTGAGATATCTGCGCGCCGCACTGTGGATGAGAACTGCGACCCTAAGCTAAGCTCGTTGCCTTAGACAGCTCTTATTTTCAGATAGCGGGCAGCTGTTCTTTTAGACGAGCACGCGCGCGTTGCTGACAGCCACCCTCCGAGCTCGCTTCTTACATAGGGTTATTATTGTTTTGCGTGGATTCGCCGTGTAGGGTGGATTGAAGCTGTTGTAATTAGTAGAAGCCACCGCTGCATCATAGCATACCGTTGAAAGTCAAGCTTACGTAGTCTGTGGCATCTAACTTTACGATTTACAGATAGCGGCAATATCATGAAGTTGTCTCACTATGAATTTATTCACACTCCGCTCGCCAGTTATTCAGCGTGTCGAGCGAGGACTGTGTATCAGGGTGTAGCTCGCCAAGAACCTGCTCACGCAGCTGAAAGCATCTTTTCATCAACGCAAAAGCCTCCCTATAACGACCTTGTAACTGCAGCGTAAAGGCGAGATTATGCATGCTAGTCAGCGTGCTAGGATGCTCGTCGCTAAGCACTCTCTTCCTCGACTGCATCACTTGCATCTGCAGCTCTTCCGCCTCCTTATACCGTCCGTCACTAAACAGAGTCGTAGCACATTTTGATGCAAGACGCATTCTTTCTTCGTTATAATCGTCCGCCGGACTATGCGACAGAGCATACTGGGCATGCGGAAGCAGTCGTCTCCACTTGCTTCTGTTACTATGATCGTCGTCTGGGAACACTTGGAGTAGCTGTGTGATAGTGCGTTGAGTCCACGCCTAGACACTTTTCTTCTTCTCGCTAATTATGATGCAGGCAGTTCAGCGCTCTGCTACTCTGCGTATAGCACCAACGAGTCCACCTATTGTCTTAGGGGTGCCGCATTCAACGCTGCGAGATAGCTTGCGGCTAGTATCATGCGCGCACGTTCAGCCACGCCTTCCCCGCCTTCAGCCTGATGCGACGCCGTCACCGCACCAAGAATGCAACAACAAGCCCTACCTCTAGGTCCAACGCTGTCGCAGCTTGCAGTCTGCTATAGATCTGCCTACTTTAGTACTGTACTAATTAGCTCTTCATCCTCCCTTCTGTGAGCTAACCTGGAAAGGGAGCAGGAGGGTTGGCTGCTGCGCTGTCAGCAGGCTGCCGGATTAAGCCTTGTCTTGTTTCCATCGCGCGGCCACCACACACCTACACGAGTCGATGCGTCTTCTGCGGTACGAAGTCGATGGCTGCCTTACGATCACCAGCTTCGACGATGACGCGATACCCCGTTATGCGATACTTTCACACACCTGGGGGGCAGATGCAGAGGAGGTGACTTTTGCGGACCTTGCACAAGGCGGCGGTAAGCACAAGCCTGGCTACAAGAAGATTTGCTTCTGTGGAGAGCAAGCACAGCAAGATGGACTGCAGTACTCCTGGGTCGACACATGCTGCATCGACAAGACAGACAAGGCTGAGCTCTCTTTGGCTATCCAATCCATGTTCCGCTGGTACCAAAATGCGACGAAGTGCTATGTATACCTATCAGACGTATCGGCAAGGAAGAAGAAACTCGACGATACGCTTACCCAGTTCACGTGGGAGCCTGCCTCCCGGTCAAGTCGATGGTTCATGCGTGGCTGGACGCTCCAAGAGCTTCTCGCGCCAAGCCTCGTCGAATTCTTCTCGCAAGAATGGTGGAGGCTTGGTGATAAGATGTCATTAAAATCACTAATTACCAAGGTCACCGGTATTCCATATGAAGTGCTCGAGGGAGGTCCTCTTTCCCGATTTAGCGTTGACGAGCGGCTGCGGTGGAAGGGCGACAGGGAGACCAAACGCGAAGAGGACGCGTGGTACTCATTGTCGGGCATCTTCAACGTCGAGATAGCGCCAGCTTACAGCGAAGGGGCGGCCAGTGCATTCAAACGTCTAAGGGACGAGATCGACAAGCTCGAAATATGCGTTCGAGATGTATGCCACACAGATCCGCGTCATGACAAGAAGCGCATTGAGGATACAAAGGGCGGACTGCTAGCAGACCCCTACCGCTGGGTTCTGGACAACACTGCCTTCCAGCGATGGCGAGAGGAGCCGAAAAGCCGATTGTTATGGGTGAAAGGCGATCCTGGTAAAGGCAAGACGATGCTGCTCTGCGGCGTGATCAACGAGCTGCGAAATTCAATCCCCCAAAGTGCCTTACTGTCTTACTTCTTCTGCCAAGCGACTGACTTGCGCATCAACAGCGCCACGGCCGTGCTGCGAGGGCTGCTGTACATGCTGGTGAGCCAGCAACCGTCACTTGTACCTCACGTCCGTAAGAAGTATGACCACGCGGGCAAAGCCTTGTTTGAGGATTCGAATGCCTGGGTCGCCTTGACGGAGATCTTTGCGGACGTCCTACGAGACCCTCAGCTAAGAAGTACATACCTGATTATCGATGCGTTAGACGAGTGTGTCACTGATCGGTCGAAACTGCTTGACTTCATCGCAGAGCAGTCTTCAGCGTCTGCTCGCGTCAAGTGGATCGTCTCTAGCCGCAACTAGCCAGAGATTGAAGGGCAGCTGGAGCAAGCCTGGCACAAGGTCAGACTGAGCCTTGAGCTGAACGCAGAGTCTGTGTCGGCAGCGGTAGGTGTGTTCATTCAACACAAGGTGTCTCAGCTGGCACGGCAGAAGAAGTACGACGAGCAGACTCGTGACGTAGTGCTGGCGCGATTGACGTCAAACGCAGATGGCACCTTCCTGTGGGTAGCGTTGGTGTGTCATGACCTCGAAGCGACAGCGAGACGGAACGTTCGGAAGAAGCTGGACACCTTCCCGCCAGGCCTGAACGCGCTGTACGAGCGGATGATGCAGCAGATCAGCGCGTCGGATGATGCCGAAGTTTGCAGGCAGGTGCTGGCTTCAACTGCGCTCGTGTATCGGCCAATCACGCTAGAGGAGCTGGTGGTCCTTGTTGAGCCGCTCGAAGACATGGCCGACGAAGCAGAGGTGCGGGAAATCGTTAGTCTTTGTGGATCGTTCCTTAGTCTGCGAAAAGACACCGTCTACTTTGTGCACCAGTCTGCGAAGGACTTTCTCTTTGCGCAAGCATACAATAAGGTCTTCCCGCATGGGGCTGAAGCTGCCCATCACGTGATATTCTCGAGGTCGATCACGATCCTGTCCCAGACATTGCAAAGGGATATGTACAGCCTGGAAGCGTTAGGTGTTGCTATCGAAGAGGTTCAACCGCCTAAACCAGACCTGCTTGCATCCTCTCGCTACTCGTGCGTCTACTAGACCGATCATCTGTGCGACTCGAAGCCTGAGTCTTGGGCAGATGGTGGTGGTGACCGTCTGAACCGCGCGCTCTCGCAATGTTGTTGGCTTTATACATTCTCGCTCCGGGGCTGATCGCACAGTCTTTATCCAACCATCGTTTATCTAGGCACCCGGTCCGGAAAATTGGCCGAACTCACAAATGCCTTGGCGCACCACCATTAGTACTACAGCACCACCAAAACAGCATGTAATATAGCATTTACGGGCTCAAATTGAAGCGTGAGGCTTTCTAAATGTATGAAAAAGCTATAAACAAGCTTTTTCTTGGTGTTGTAGCTTGTTTGGGACGTTCAGGAGTTGTTTTCGTCCCATTTTCTTCACCACCCAGTCATTTAACCATCAAGATCAACACAATCCTGCAGTCTTTGAGGCATTGTATTAACCTGAGCATTTATAAACCTCTGAGAGACCTTCTGCCATCCCTCAATAGCCAATTCTCTCGTTTCAAACTCATCCCAATGCGGGAAACGAGCCATGAACTGCTTGGGTAACCTTGCAGACCATCCGAGATCTTGGAGAAAGCGATCAGCTCGTTCCAAGTCTTTTAGGCTTAAAGCAGGTGGCCTCCCTCGTTTTTCTTATACAACCTCATTATTATGATGTCTCCGATCAAATAGTTCGTTATCCTGTTGTATTATAGACCATCCCTAAGTCTTTCTGACTCCATAGAACCGAAACAAGTCGATGTGGCTGAAGAGGATCTTCCGGTACTTCATGTAGTCTGCCGCCCCCTTTATCCGAGCTTTTTTAGGTGTTTCATAGGCGCGATTTGGCATATCGGGTATGGCGAAAAAGATGCGCGCAAAAAAAAATTGGGTTCGATAGGGTGGTTGTGGAGGTAGAGGTGGTTGCGCGACGCTTGTGTTGGGATGGAAACATTTGTTGGGGTGGCCCAGGCTCTGAGTTCGGCCAATTTTCCGGACCGGGTGCTAGGTAACGGACCGGGAGCGCGATTTCTTCACATTATCGCTTAACTATTCCAATATCGGACGTCCATCTCTTTTAGTCATCGTAGCAGACAAGTATTGAGGCTCCACCGGGAAGACACAGTAAGCTAGCGGCCACCGAAGCTGGCCACCCACTGAAGCTGGCCACCCGCCCAGAACTCGGCCACCCATTAAAAATCAACGTAATTAATTCAACCTAGTTACAATTGCCACTCTGTACACATAGACTAAAGAGTTTAAGCTGCTGATTTAGCTGCTGCTGCTCTCTCTGCTGCTTTTTCTGCAGCGTTACTATTGTTTTGTAACTCTAAAAGAGCAGACGCCTGCACTGCTACCATAATTGTTTCTATATCTGCAAAGCGTTGATTTGAATTTACATGAACTTTCTTTCGTGGCTGCTGAGGCTTAAGAGCCTCAAGTTGACTATATAGTCTTTTGTTCTCTGCTTCTAGCTGTGCTGCGCGAGTATTTGCTACTGCAATAGCTTTGCCTGCTTTTTGAATAAGCTGGTGAGTCTTGCGGCTAACACTCTCGTTCCTGTGCAGCTCTCGCTGAGCTATAAAAAGATCACGAGGTCCACGGGGGGTAGATAGATAGCTCTCAGCAGGTTGAGCTTGATTCTGACGTGGTGGCGTAACAGGCCTCTGAGCTACCTGTGAGGAGTTAAATACCCGCTCAATGTTCAATGGACAGATGCCTGCAGTGGCCCATCCAGCTCGTACTACTCTGTCAGTAATCGCAGCCTCTCTAGCGTTATAGTAGGCTGTAATAAAGCGTTCTTTTTTAACTGGCGCTGCGTCATCTAGATGCGATAGTTCCTGGATCTGGTTTCGGTAGAATCTCTTCACTACTGAGAAAACTGAGAGATCTAGTGGCTGCAATACATGAGATGAGTGAGCAGGTAGAAACAGAAGCTGAACTTTATTCTGCTTGCAGGTCCACAGGAATTCCAGATCAATGTGGCTGCCGTGGCCGTCCAGAATTAGCATCCTCTAACGATCGTCTGATGGAGCCGTCTCAGGCAGAAATATCCGTTGCAGCCATTCGAGGCCTATCGCATTTGATGTCCAGCCGTTCTCAGAGGTTGTGTAAAGCCAGTTAGGTATTATCGCAGGAAACCAAGTACTCTGTAGGTTCTTGCCCTTAAATATCACCCCGCAGCGCAGTTTCTTGCCCGTAGCCGACACGCATTCGATTATTGACGCCCACTCGCGATTCTCTGGCGACTGCTTGTAAGCCTTGCTCTTACGGCTATCTGCGAGGACTCTAGTGTTTGCACATACCCCCATAGCCTTGCCAGTCTCGTCCATATTCCACATATCCTCAGTGCGTATACCTAGTCGTACGCGAGTCCTCTCAAAGAGCTCAAGAAACGCGCGTATCTGTTCCTGTGTTGCGCCCTCAGCCCGCGAGCCCTCTATCTTTCTACCAACAATAGATGCGACGCGTAGGTTGCGCTTAAGAAAGAAGGATATCCAACGCTTGCCCACAGGATTGTTGTCACCATTTATCCTCAGGATTCGATTCGCCATTTCTCGCGCGCGCGCGTGGGATGGAGGAAACGCGCGTGCGTCCTCTTCAAGGATCCATTGTACGAGAAATTCCTCTTGTTGTGGAGTTAATCGCTGCTGGTATTCGTGGCTAGATTGACGTGTCTGTGTACCACGTAGTCGGGCCGCAAGCGTGCTTCGAGGGATCTTGTACGCCTTTGCAGCAGCTCGTTGACTAGTAAAAACACTAGAAACAATGTCGCTAATAGCTGCTTGAATTGCTGCTTCACGGGGATCCATTTTGCTTGCGTGGTTATGGAGAAATCACGAGCGTGGAGTGGGTGGCCAAGTTCTGGGCGGGTGGCCAGCTTCAGTGGGTGGCCAGCTTCGGTGGCCGCTAGCTTAGTAACAATCTCTGGACAGGGATCTCGGGGTCGCGGCATGAAGTCGACTTGTCGATGCAAGAATGCGGCACAGCTCTTAACGACTTGCATCCATACCCAACAGTACGCTCTTCATCCCGCAGGATCAACACAGGCGCAGCAGCAATGGCCACGTCGATGCACTTGGTCTGCAATAAGCTATCATCAGTAAATTACTGGTCTTGATGGCTATGATCAATCCCTCATGTTCAGGAATGAACCAGGGTTGGTTGTGCGGGCCGCCTGGTTGGCGTGTGACGGCTCGTAGTGCCCCTCCTTCACAATACATAGGCGCCTTTCTAGCCGCCATGGGCTTATCACAACCCACCAATCTGCATTTCCTCTCGCGATGGGGGGTCGCACAGCAAAGTATCCACCCGGGTTGACACGGCCCTCATCGTCTAAAGTCTCATCGATGACTGGCTGCTTGACGACTGCGCGGTATGCGCCTTCCTGCACGTGGGCCAACTCGGCTTGTCGCTAAAGTCGTCATACGTCGCAGCATGAGATGAACCTCAGGAAGATGTTGGCGAAGCAGTCGCGCGGCTCATTTCTACACCTACCACTCTAGGGATTTGAAGGATGTTAAAGCATTTAAGCGAGTCCTGCTAAGGGATGGTCTATGATGCGATGGCAGTACACGAGTGTGAGGCACAGTTGCTGTAGGATTACCCTCCAACCACTCATGCGCATGAACTTCGGTTTAGGCGGCCTCACGAGACTAGTCCGGCGCCCTGCCGGCCTACGACTGGATCATAGACGCCATACCGGGTGTAGGCCTCTAAGTTTGCCCAAGATCAGCATGGGCATGACCTGTCTACACGGGTATTGGTAGTTTGCCGCGCCGGGCGCTTCCACCCACCGTTCACTCCCATGTCACGCGTCCTGAACGCAATGCGATGCCTGTGATACAGCAGAACGAACGAGTCTAACTGGTTCTTTTAGTATTTCCGACCCCAATGCCACCCAATAGCCATCTTTCTCCTAAGCGATGAAACGAAACGGCTGGAGGTCCATGTAGCTTACTTTGTTGTCAACCGTGCCGTATTGACAGCACCGCCTGGTAGCAACGCCAGACCCCGCAGGGCCCCTTACCGACAGTATGGACAGCGCACTTGTTAACCGATAACCAAGACCTAATAATCAGAAAATGATATGATAGCCTGAGTCTCCTCGTCAACCTGGTCCTCAGCCTTCATCGCAAAGCTCGAACCCCACCATGTCCCTACAACTTCGCATAAGTAGCTCCCAGGAAAAGCGACCTGCTTTTCGAGGCAACTCACGCCGCTTGCTTCGTTTAAGCGACGTTCCGGAATCACCTGCAACACTTGGAGCGGCTTGCGAAGCGGTCGAAACGGACGGCCGTGCATGCCGTGTGGCGCTTCCTACTGGAGCGAGCGATCCGTGGTGCGACAAACATCATGATGAATGGAGAGAATTGAGCGAAAAATGGGGCAAGACGCAGAAGGAAGCAGAAAGAATTGTGGTGCTCAGCCTTGATGTTGCGAAACAAAAGGTTATGAAGTTGCGCCAGTCCGTGGACCTTAGGCGACAGATTCGGGACCGATTCTACCCTGGTGGTGGGGATATTCAAGACTACATCAAATGGCTTGCAAAGCTAGAAGGCGATGTCCGACAGCTCGCAGACTCCTTGCTCAGTAAGCGCTACGAATCTATGAGATTTGAACGTGGCCTAATACATAGGACAGTGCAAAACTTGCAGCGTGGCCCGACCCCAGAAACCCCCGGAGTACATACTGGCACCCCTCATCCTGATAGGGTCAGTCTAGGAGAGACAATTACGATCCTCCGATCACCACTGGATCCCAGAATACCCATCGACTCTCTTCAAGGAATGCCGGATGATGGCACCATCCTCGTCCTCAAACACTTTTACCAGGATCTATGTGCGGACAGTGTTCGACGACTGTACAATATAGTACCAGACTTGGACGACTCGCGCAAGCAAGCCAGCTCCCCTGATCAAAAGGATCAGACTCCTCCTGACAATGGCACCGACATTATTCGCGCCTGGTTTCGCATCATGGTACTGAATGATAGTGAAGCTTCCACCCTCGAACATGCGACTAGATCGAAGAGTATCGACGAGTTCTTGATGGGATGCCAAGCCAGTCAACTGGAAGAGTATTGCGACTACTTCGAAAAGGCCTGGCGTCCAAACGCTGTGCAGTACCTTCGCGTGGCAATTTGCGCCCAGACTCTTGCTGGTGGAGACATCAAAACTATACAGCTGCTCGGCGGTACTATCCCAAGTACGACCGAAGGACTGAGAATGACCAAACCATGCTGGGACATACTGTAAGTCAACACGTATCATTGAGGGTCGTGGCTAATACTTCATAGCTATCGCTGGTTCCCTACGCTGCTCACACCCTGGTCACTTGCCAGTATCTGCTCCAACTTCGAAGACTACACAACCATCTGCAAACTGTTGATGCTGAGGCTGTACAACGACCACTGGTACGATCCAGCCAGTATACTGAGCGAATGCTCAACTGGTGTTTACATGGGCTTCATACCAACTACGAAAGGAGACTTCACCGCTAGTGCAGGTCTCCGACAAGAAGGTCAACTATGGGTGCAACGGCAGTCACGTAACTACCTGTGTGGACAGATGGCTATCGGCGACCCTCTGACACAGGCATTCCTTGATGAGCTTCGGAAACGGACCTCGACACTCTACTTAGTCGTCTACGAAGGCACACACGCGGACGCTACTGTGCATCCAACTGAACCTGATCTGTTCATCTGTCGCCATCGCTCAGCAATGACCCTGGACGAGCTCGAAAATGTCGACTATAGTACCACGTTGACGCTAGAGGAGATCAAAAACCATCTGCGGATGAGAAAGACGACCATGTATGATCCGATAGTGGTCGACTCCTGGCAATTCATAATCATCGATCGCGAAGTGGGACTGCCTTTCCGACTGATCGACATTGTGCAGGATACACTGGCGATGCTCATCGGTGACCCTTCGCCCAGACAAATGGCAAAACGTGTCATTCGCGAGATCATACCGCCTTCTGTGCAGGAGATCTTCTTAGAAGAGATCCACATCGACTGTACACCCGAATTGCGCTACCCACCACCAGCCGAAGTTCAACATGAAGGCAACAGGTGGAGATGTTACGATCCGGATCCCAAAGTCCTTGCCGCACGGCAGAAGAGGATGACCCAACAACAGATCTCACGGGATGACAACCGCTTCATCAGACGCGTCATCGAGGACATGGAGCGATACGGCATCGTCACCCTCACAACAGAATATGAAGAGCCACAGACCCGACCAATCATCGTTCAAGCTTCTGACGGCGCACCCGACCTCTACTTCCCGTACGAGAGCGGTACGACGGTATCCGAGAGTGGGCGCTCCCTGTCGCTTCCATTGCCACCACCCAGTTGCCTCCGAGACTTCACAGAGAAGTACAAGCAAAAGCATCCAAACGCAATCATGGCGAAAGGCTCGATACAGACTCATTACTGTGCATGGCCAATGCCCGCAATCAAGAGTCTGGGCAAAAGCGGACTCAATTTCGCCACATGGGAAGGCCATGTGTACAGGTGGAACGCCATGCGTATGTCTTCCTCCCTCCTTTTCATCCACACTACTTGAGTTCTTAAACTAACTATATCTAGCATTCGATCGTCCCTCGTCCGCAAACGCATGGCAATACTACATCCAACACTTCCTCAACTCCAAATACCCATTCGTCATGTTCTACCTCACCACATTCGTCATTTGCGCCACCGACCAAGAAGACGGTGATCGAAAAGCTGCGACCATACTTGAAGAGATGGAAGATAGAGGTTGGAGAGTCACACTACCGAAGACACCCGAGTGGACGAGCGACATTGATGAGTTGAAGCTTGAGTTGTTGTTCAATGGTGTTAAACCGGCCTAGAACTATAGACAAAGATGTGCAGATGCATAACAGGCGCGCGTGGTGCATGCATAGAGAATTCGACGAGGTTGGGGTAAAAGAAAGGTGTGGAATGTAGGCATGATATAGGTTTGGGCTGCATGGGCATATATTCGGGCATAGCGGGTTTTGATGTGGTTACGTTAGATAGTTTTGGAGCGTTCAGCCGTGCTGCATACCCCTTCTTTCAATGAAATCGCGGTGTTTCGACTTGCCTGGAGATGTTTATCGCATCAGATGGTCCCAAATATCAAATGCATCTCAAGACCTCGCAAAGTGGCGGTATTGGTACATGGTAATTGTTGAGTGGAAGCAAGAAGCGGGCTCAAGAAATATGGCGCACTTCAATTCACGACAGAAATCAAATGACTTCATAAGGCCGCAATCTTCACCCAAATCATAGAGCAAGATGTCGCTCTGGTTAGTTGGTTGGTTGGTTGGTTGATTCCTACACGGTTTCAGCCGCGAAATGCAGCTATGCCCGGATGACAGGCATGGCAGACAGCCGACACGGTGCGGACGTAAATCTGCACCGCCCCACTTCACTCTCGAAAGAGCCATCTGTCCCCAGAGGCCTGCCGTTGTCTGGCTTCTATCTACGACTATGTACATCTCGTCTCTAGAAGTGACGTGTTTGCCTGCGTTTGTGTTCCTCAAACTGTCTTCCTGTGTGTATGCCGTACTCGAAGCCTCGTGTGTGTAACGTTGTTTCAAGGCTCGTAGAGGCACGGTTGCCTCATGCTTTGCGACCGCAATACCTTCAGTCTCCCCCTAGCGTTCAGCTGTCGTGTGTGCTAGCTTGCCCTCGTGCCCCAGGGCCTGCAATGTGTTCTCCGAACTCCGATATTCTTTAGTGTTGTGATGCCGTCCACTAGGTTCCTATGCGGCTGTGTTGTGTGGTGTGACCTGCCACCAGGCGCTGCGGCAGCAGCATTTCGTCGTAACGCGGCTCCACAAGAGCGATGCTCCGCCCGTGCGTGCCGTTGAGCCTACTGAGCAGGAGAGCTCTCGCGCGAATCTCCTCAGACCTTTTCGGTTGTGTCGAAGGGGCACCACTCCCTCAACACGTGGGGCGACAGTGGACGAGGCTGTCTGATGATCTGTAAGTATGTGGTGGCACCGATGGTAGCATGCCGGGTGTCTGTGAGGTGATTCGCGTGGGAGGTGATGCTGTTCAGTCCGAGGGCGCGTCGATGCGGGACATTGCAGACATTGTCCGATAGCGATGGGCTGACCAGGAAGCCCATCAGTGACTGTATTGTGTATGTTGTGACCACTATGCTTAAAGGGGTGTCTGGGCTCCGTCGTCGCGTCTTGCATTGCTGTGTCGTGGCTAGATGGCTGCCGCTGCATTTGGTGGACGTGTCATGTTAAGTAGCTTGCTCGCAGATTTTGTTCGTCTGTGTCTGCCAGGGCCGCAACAGCGACTCTACAGGTGCCAAACCGACGCGGGGGGACGCGTGATGGCCTGTAGAGACTATTGCGGCCGCTGGCAGATGTTTTTGAGGCTGTTGTGATGGGTAATTCCAAAAATTGATTTCTCGCTGTTTGTCGTGTTTTCGGTTAAGTGGGGTGCGCAGCTTACTGGTGGAACACGTTAATGACTAATACCTTCGCTTATATAATCCGTGTGGCAAAGCTATCTAGGCATCCACATATTTCCACCTCCATATTTTTCTAGACGACGCCATGTAACTCATCAACCATCGCCAAATAAAATGGAACTAGACACCGACCGAAAGCTTGGGGAAGTGCTCGGCTCTCCAAATGCATTCATAGACACCATGTTGGAGATCCAGCAGTGTGTCATACCGCGAGTGGAATTTTCACATTGGGCTAGTCACCTCCGCTTCATACAAACGCCAAGGATCGACTTGGCTGAGCTGAGCGGGGTTTTCACTGGACCGACAGTTTTAGGCCTCACTGAGAAGAATGATAACCCAGGAGAAACGAATTACCTAGCAGTTTCATATTGCTGGGACTCATTCGAGTTTGCCAATGGACGGGATAATCATCCGCGCTACAATATTCGGACAAACCGAGGTCTTCGACCCAGTAGGACGCCAACACGCGTTCTGGATAGGTCTATATTTTACGCTATCGTACACGACATCCGCTTCATCTGGATAGATCAGGAATGCATTGAACAGGACAATCCTCTTGACTTGGAACAGGGTGTTCAGTGTATGGACCAGGTTTATAGATCGGCTGCCCACTCGATTGGATTATTGAACACAGAGATCAGCTCTCAACCAGTCTTTCATACGCTTACCCACCTCGTGTCCGATGAGAGGCATAGAGTGGCTCGAATCTCTTCCTGGGAAAATTCATGGTACAACCACTCGGGAAATCAAATACGCTCAGAAATGGCCGATTTTCTACGCAAGTTGTCGGGTGACAGGTGGTTCTATCGAAACTGGACATATCAGGAAGCGAGCTGTGCTCAAGACAAAATGCACCTATTGATACCGGTTAGCGCACTGGTCTCAGATTTTGACCGTTGTTTCAACGAAGTTTCTGTACGACTTTCTGAACTCTGGTCGGTCGCTTCCAGGGTCAGTGCGGCAGAGAAACCCCTTCGGTCATCTCAACTCGACCATTCCAGCCCGCTTGCAATGGTCGGGCTTTGTGTGCAGGCTTGGAACCAAGGACGACGGTTGTCATGCCCACAGAGTTACGAAGTTGCAGGACAAATGCGATATCGAGACAATTCAGTTGCGGCAGACCGCCTGGCAATTACAGCAAACCTATGCGGGTACACAAGACGTCTAGACTCTGCCGCGTTAATTGCCAGAAGATTCTCATACAGCGTGTGCGCACTGGCGCTTGCCCTACTCAACGGAACCATAATCCCTTCGGGCCGCACAAACATCTTCTCGTCTATGGGCAAGCCGTTATTTCGTTGGCAAGAGGAGACAATCTACGACTTTTTGATTTCCCCAGAATACCTGAGCACAGCATATGCTAATCCTGATCGCCTCGAATCACGCCTGGCACATGTTAGAATCACGCGACAGGGTTTGGAAACGCGAGGGTGGCTCTGGAAGGTTGACAGAAAAATCACCCTACCTTGGGTGAGGGAGAAACACCAAAATTTCCTGGAGAAGCTGCAAAATTCCACCAATATGATAAGCTTGTCCCCACAACTCTATGTTCTTATAAAAGATCTGTTAGATGGATTTGAACGACTAAATCTACAGAGAATCGCGGACACATTGTACGAATGCGTTAGAACAGGACAGACTAAAACCTCGTCTTCTCGCCAATCTACCTTGGACGAATGTACAACGGATCCATATTTCCCAGGCCACTGGCTTTTCCATCTGATAGAGAAATTCCTTCAAACGGGGCACTTCTGGTGCGGCAGTCTCGATGGGGAGGAGGAGCTTAGTAGTGTTTTCGATTGCGAGGCTCCAGCAACTGTGTTCACTGGAAGTGATGTTGAATTTAATGATGTCCCTCGGCCTTGGGCGGCTAAAAACTTCGTATCTTGTGAGGTGATTCCGGTATCAGAGTCTGCAGATAGCGTCAAAGAATTGATGCATACGATGAAATCTATACACGGAATTTGGCATGGCACGGAAGCTTCCAGTAAGAGATATCTTTTTCTGTGGGGGGACATGTGATCTCGAGTCTTCTCTTTTGGCGGCAATAGTAAAGCAGCAGATATTACCCAACGATTATCTATTTGCCTCCTCACTACTAATCTACTGGCTAGATGCTCATTCCTGAGTCCTGATACAGTCGGGTTTCTTTTGTAGTAATACTCTCATGGCGCTTAATCTATACACGTAGCACTTTGCCGCATTTGGTACTAGCAGAATATGTAGTTGTTTGCTTCTGAGAACTTGCACTGTTATACAACAGGTATCCAAGGAGAAGACTTGTAGGCTGTCCTCCATAGCTTGCTTCTAGCAGGAGTAGCTCTGGACCTAATTAGCCTTGCTCTCACCTACATGTCCACTAAATTTTAAAGGCAACCTTTTCATTATCGAGTCCCTAGGCCAAAGCTTTAGCGAATCAACATCACAGGGGCGAGTGAGCCTGCTAATAAATGATATTAAACCAGCGATAAAAATTGACTTGGCACTCGACGTTGCCACCCAAAGCAGGGAGGACGGCCGACCCGCTCCTGCCAGGGGCTTGCTATGAACGTCCGCACTGGCTGACATTGCGAAGAGATACAAGGGCCATTCTCGATGATAGGACGGCATGCAGCCTTAGAGAGCGTAGTACCTTACCAAGCAAAGCTACCATCAGATTTCTGCTCCACCTTACCCAACGCTTATAAGCATCGACGATCTAAACTCTTCATCATCCTCAGAGATTAAGCTGAAGCGCCTTGCCACGCCCCTAATGATTGCAGTGCTCATTCAAGGAGCCATTCGTTGTACAGCTGTGCGTTGTACAGCCGTGCGACAGCTGTACCCTCAAGATATGCAGACCCTTTCCTACCTTTATACATGCCTGCAGCGACGGCGCTCTTCTGATAGCGACATTCAGCTGCTACTAAGTATGTGTATCGGTCGTGATGTGCTTAAGAAGGACGAGGACGTGGTGGGTCGGACGAGGGATCAAGGGTGGGTCTGCGGAGCTAGAGGGCGGCGCAACGGTTTATCTCTATAGCCTGTATGCTTTTGCGTTAGCTATAGTCGTGCAGTATATTTTACCTTAAAGCTGCATAATAGCTGTATTAGAAGCTGGTTGTGGGTTCAATGCTGTGTGTGTTTGTTAACACGAGCCAAATGCCGGGTTCCTTCAAACCCAACCCTGCCCCCAATTTGAGCCAGTTTTCGGGCGTCCTAGAGCGCTTGGCAAAAGCGTCACACAGCCACACGGCCAGAGATCTAGTGTCAGCAGCGATTGACTACAGCTAAGCTGCTTTAAGCTAGGTGTGCGGGTCCTTATCTAGCACTTCTAGCAGGCGGTCTTGCATTTAGCACAGACGCATAACAACCTCTCGAGCTCAAGCGCAGTGCTCGGGATAGTAAAATAGTATAACAAGCTGTAAGCTGACTTACTTTTAATAGGATTTATATGTTTTTAACGCACCTACCGCTAGCTAAAGCGAGGCGGTCGCGGAACGCTTATTCTAAACTGTCGTAATACACGGTAAGCAGAACCTATTTCTAAAAGACCTCAGAAGAGAATTAACTTTGTAACTCAAGGCTACTATCCCGAGAACATCTGTTATTCTAACCCGATATTGAGTTTGTTGTGCTGGGGCGTGTCTTTGGCGCCCCGTCACGCAGGGACGGACGTTAACACAAATTGAGAGGAATAGTCAATGAGATCGTTGTTATTCCATTGCTTGCTAGACTGCTGAATGCCGATTTTACATCCTCACTATGCCCCACTACTGCCTTGATGGAGATAAGTCGCCAGATGCAGCTTTGTCGATGGTACAATTCAGGTTTGCCAGCGGGCTGAGGTCGCAAGGCGCGTGTGAACCGGCTTCGTGAGTGGTAACCTGAGCTTGTCCACGTTGAGCTCGATGGGAATGCGATGGCGACTTCATCACCGGCGCGGGATACAATCTGTCCTTGAAACGACTTAGTCCTTGATAGCTGTAAAGAAGGGAGAGCTTACAAGTGTATCTTGATCTGGCGGGAACCAGGGCTGACCTGTTTTATCTATAGATACGAATCCGTTGAAGCGGCCATTACGATGGGCTAGGAAGTAAATATCTGTGTCATATTCTCGGCATAACTTCGTCAATTTTTCGTAGAGGGTTTTGGATAGCTTCTGGTAGTTGTTGTTCGCAGCTCGTCTTGCCTTTGCGCGTGCTAGTAGCTGCAATGGCTGCTGAGAGGTCATGATTATGCTGCTTCCTTAGAGACCTGGCTAGCCGATTCATTTAAGCTAGTCTGTGTGAACCAAAATCGGGATCCAGATGCTACAATACATGCAGTACGCCAGATGGATCCGGGTTTGCGTTTCCCATGGTCGAGTGCTTTGCTCCTGTTTCCAGGTTCTTTTGCACGCCACCATGGCGCTCTGCAACCTGGAGCCCGTTTTCGGCTCCCTTCCGGTTTCTGGCCCCTTTCACGCTTCTCAAGGTCCTCAATTGAGCACCAACTTAGAGTTCCATCTTCCTTTGCCCGTGGACTACTGTAATTAATTTGTTAGATTTTCTGGACTAACGTCTCCCGCGTGACACGATACTTGGCATTAATGTTACCCCGCTCAGCCTCCGGTTTTTCTATCTTACGAGCAACGTCAGCAGCGCCTTCGCTGGGCCCAAAACAGGTCCATATAACATGAAAGGCCATTCTGTGGGCACTAGACGGAACGTTCTCCGCCTCGCTCGATAGCACATGTCCCGATACGCCATGCAGAAGGTGGTCATTGGCCGCCGATGCGCCATCCACCATTACGCGCGCGAGTGCCAGAGCCAGCTTTCTAGCTTCTGTACACGTCATCGAGCGTGCTGTGGCCAGAAATGGATCACCTCGGCGCTTACGTTTGACCCCATCTTAGGCTATGCCTCTGCGGGTGGTAGGTGTCAAAGTCTTTGGCTGGCCTCTGACATTAACGCTGTCTCGTTGCAACACCGGTTAGGGCAGCTTAGGGGGCGATGGACACAAACAGTGGTAGCGGTTCCTGATTCTGCCGAAAAGCATTGCGCATCGGGTCCTACATCACAGAGCGTTCCCTGTCTACGCCCTCCAACAAGCTCCGAAAAGAGGGCAGGAGAAAGGCGAGGCCATCGATCGAAAGCTATCTACAATTAAAGAAGCAGTTGCACTTTCCACTTGGAAGAGAAATCACTAGATGTGCTTGTGGCCAATAAGAAACTGGTCCAGTTTGGACCTGTTCGCTTATTTGGTTTAGTCATATGATGAGCTGTCATTCTCGCACATGCCTACCACGACGCCAGCCCTACACGCTCGCACAAGCTGATCCGTGCCGAGATCAGCAGACTACTAGATGCCCATGACCTTCGCGACGGGTATGACTGCTCCTACGAAGTCGAGGGCAAGGAAGGCTACGTCAAGTAGCGGTGGTGGCTCACCGCCTTAGCTGCGGTTGTGTCGTTGGCTCCCTGGCTGCGTGGCGCTGTTGCTGAGTCAACCGACGCGCCCAGCTTTTCGATGATCCGTCAATTGGCCGTGAGCGCGACGGCTATGGAACAAATTCACGATGCAGCACAGCATACGGCTATGTTAATATCGCAACACGCGAGAGAGTGCCAGAACCAGCTTCCTGGCTTCTGTGCACGTCGTCGAACGTGCTGTGGCCGGAAATTGGTTACCACGGCGCTTACGTTATCCCCAACTTGGGCCATGTCTCGGAGGATGCCTCCCTCATCTTTACCAGGACAAGTCACAAATCAGTCTCAATGGCTCATACGTATTAATGAAGTGGATAGTTTAGCTATTATACCTAAACGAAAGCAAACGCCAAAGGAGTGACTCTACAGTTCCATTATCCGCACGTTGTTCAGGCCTTCCCAACAACCCGTCGATCCCAACAACGATGTCCCATTATACGTATCCTACCCGCCCCACGACCTCTAACAAGAACCTCAACTGTTTGCAGAGTCGTCAAACTCATCCCAGAAAGCCTCGTTCTCGTCGGCATTTATTCGTCTCAAGGACCCCACAGTCCTTGAAGCTCGGCGGCCGCGATTGTCAACGCTTCTGTTAACGACTGATGAGGTATGGCCTTGATGAGCACTCAGATTGGACGGGTTTGGAGGGAAGTTCGGGCTTATGTTGCCCCCGACTTGAGCAGCGGTGAACGCACGAGTCGATCTTTCTCTCTCCGCGGCTGACAGCTCTTCCATATAATCGGTCAAGTACATCGGATTACCTCCGTTTCCTGGGGCGTTATCAGGAATGCTCGCCGCAGTTGGACGGTCACGGTTAGGAATGTGTCCATTCGCGATCAGATGAGCAGTGTCCTGGTGGCCCATTGGGTTAGAAGGATCGAATGGTGTATTCGATCGGATATTCTCTGCGTTGCTCCCAGAGTCCAAGTCATTTCCATCACCGTTGAGAGCATTGTGGGGTGCCCTGGCTTCCCGGAGTGTCGCTAGGTTCGTGTGTCTCTGGTCTTCCGTGGCGTTCTCTGGAGCACGCATATATTCGAATGCATTGTTCCACCTTTCTATATCCTCAGCTGACGGAGGCTCTTGTGGCGAGTAATCGCTCAAGCATGTTGCACGCCCGTCATCTCTGGGCGTGTTGTTGCGAATGCTGTTGTCGGGCGTACTACCATGAACTAGAGAAGAGTTGCTAGCCCTCCTACCCGGATGGTGACTGGAAAGGTCGAACGGCGGCTGTGAATCTGTGGTCTGCAGCTGCAACGGGGTATTTGGGCAGGCTGGTGCTCGTCCATCACTATGGTTGGCGCGTACATTCCCAAACCGAATAACAAGAGCACGGCGCCTTACTGGGGTTTCGGAGCTGCTTGCTGTAGTGTCTTCGTCTGGAGCAGCTCTGTTTGGCTCGTCTTCGCTGTACTGGCTGAAAAGCGCAAGCTCGGTGTGTGACTCCCTGCTCACCGGGTCCAATCGCAGTTCGCTCACGTTGACCGAAGGTGGAGAATTCATTGGTGTGCCTGGGCTGGCCTGCGCTCGTCCATGGCCATTTTCAATAACATCTCCATTGCTGTGTTCGGCTTGTCGGTGGGTACAGTCAGCCTCAGAATGGACAGTAGCATATACACCCCCAGCTGTATTGGAGTCGTCGCCACTTAACCCTAAATCTCTCAGGGAATATGAAGGGCGTTGGTCGCTGTTACTAGGTCTTCCGTTGACGAGTGGGGTAGAGTTGAGCATGGTGGCTGCGTCGCTTGCTTCCCCAAGAGGATGACTGGAAAGTGCGGCCGTTCCGCTAGGCGGCGCCGAACGACGCATAGGGTATGATGGCAATTCACTTGCATGGAAGCCAAAGGCAGTAAAGTCAGCCGCTTGAGAAACTCTGAGGGATCCGGAACTGTTCGCCTGTGGAGGATCAGGCTGTAGGGCACCGGACGGGCTGAAGTCATCTACCTGAGACATACCCAGTGTGACCGGAGTGTTCCTGACAGCAACTGGTGGGATTCCAGAGGAGAGAATTTCGAAGAGATCGAAACCGTCAGGCTCCGAAGTTGTCGATTGATTGTTGTTGGAAGCACTTTCTGATTGGGCAGTGTCAGGCTGTAGACCAAACTCTTGTCTATCCCTGGCGGTCATTTCGTGCGCTATAGAACTCGCACGTGTGAAAGGCCGTCTAGGACGTTGCGGCGCATCCGTGTGGAAGGCCTCATGAAGCCTTCGAACAGTGGGGTCATCTGTATGTTCCACAATCATCATTGCAGAGGGCGGCGTGTCATTTTGATCGTTTAGGGCGTTGTCTCTGACTTGGTGGTCGCTATTGATAGTACTACCGGTTGGGGTTGTGCGCTGGGCTTGGTGATTGCCATTCACGAGTCCTCTGTTGACGGCGTGGGTACCGATACTGGAGGTGGAAGGGCTCGGCTGAGTGCTGGACGTGATTGGGGGGTTTGCTGGAGAACTGGTAGCCTGCTGGCCTGTTGCATTGGAGGTATTGGTAACACAGGAGTTCGAGTGGTTGGTAGAGTCGGACATGGCGGATGGAAGGAGGTGCTTGTTAACGTAAGCATGTGCTTCAGAGGGAATGAATGGCTGGCCTCACTTTTGGGGCTTTTATTATTATATCAGGGCAATCAAACGTTAATCTGCCTTTGTAGAGCAATAGTACTTGGTCGACAGTGAATGCTCTGCTCCTGCTAGAGGAATTCAGGAAGGAATTGGCTTAATGAAAGTATTGTATGGTGGGCCACCTCTAAAGAGATGACGAAGGATAGTTTTGACGTGAAAGAAGAGTGTCAGGCGGGCTGTACTTGAATAGATGCGTATGAGTAAATTGACTTGGTGAGAAGGAGTTTTCGTAGGGTGATCGCGAGACTTTAAATCCATCCTCCTAGCCCTCCTCACCTAATTCCATGCCTTGCTGACAAGTTCCCTCATCCGGTCAGTGCCCTCGAGTACTTCTGCATGAGCAAACCTAGCATTCACTGTGGATACATCCGCGAGTGTGAAGGGGCTTGCAGTCGTAACAACCCGGAAGCACTGCATGCAAGGATGATCTTCGCATTGTTGCGTTCTTGCAGATGCATGTGGTGAGCACGCAGCCTTAGGGTTGTTACTGTAAATGATACTCTGTTTGGAAGGGTAATGTCGACCTAGCCATGGAGGTTCCTTAACTGTTTTCATTGATATCAACAGTACCCTTTTTTGCTGCGAGTATAAACATTGATTAGAGCTGTAAGCCAACATCTAAATGATGTTCTATTGTCGCCAAAATCTGGGTCATTTTGCGATGAGCCATTGTTGCATGCAGCCCAAGCTAGTAGGGTGGGCCAAGACAACTTCGCCTCCACTTGATGTGGATCAGACCCCTGCTTGGAACAATTTGCCCCTCACTTCGTCCATTTCGATGCTGCACACGGCTTCGTCTCAAATGCACATACCTCTTGTCCATTAGCTAAATGAGGCACCCTGCGCACACAAATTCCCTCCAGCACTTTTGTTTTGCTATTCCCCCTGCTCCATCCCGCTTCACCAAGGCCCTGCTTCATTTTGACTGCGTATCGCACAATGGATGCGCGAGAGTATCTACAACAAGTCCAGTCATTGTGTAACTCTTTCGATCCTGAGGCTCTTCTAAGAGCAAACGACGCTCCTATTGACAATGCTCTTGAAGCTCTCAAGAAGATGCGCCTTGAGTTGGAGATCATCGAGCTTTTGAAGCCAGCCCTGAATGCAATGCTACCAGATTTCACGGGCTTCGAACCACATATCCTAACCAGGCTCAAGCGCTTCCTGCCCTACGTTTTCGAGACTCGGGATGACCCCAAAACCCAGGCTCTTCGGAAGCTGGATTGCACATCCATCAAGATCTGCGGCTTGTGTCTCACCCAAAAGGCACTTAGAGACCTCAAGCCCGAGCAGCTTGACTTGCTTATACAGCGGACTGAGACGGCATCTCGGAATTTGCTGCATATTATTTCTGCAAATGACGATATTGACAAGGTGGTTCGACTTTGTAATGTTGAAGGCGAAGACTATGAACAATTTATGACCGGTAGGTGTACATTCAGTGACAGCTGTCCACGTGTATTGACAACGTCAGACCACAAAAAGGCTCGACGACTTGGTAAAGGGTCCGTCGAGTTGGCTGCACAATATTCCTTGGCCGGGCGACCATGTTGGTGCTTCACCGGGGTGTCGCAGAAAGCTATCCACTCCTCATTTGCCATGCCCTCTGCTAGAGCTGTTCGAGACATCACGACATTCTTACCGGTTGACGAGAGTTTCGACTGTATCATCAGAATGACGGTTGGGTTCGACACAGAGCTTCTGAGAATACTTTTCGGTCACCAAGTGCCTCAACCTATCACGGCAGGTAAGGAATGAAAAATCAAGGACAGAACCACAACTTACTAGTTAGCAGAACCCTTTGCACTCGAACGTGCAGTCAGAGGTCAGATCGGAGCAGTATTCGGCAGCATCGTGTTGGGTGGCATCATCGCCAGTCATGCATGGACAAAGGAGATACAGGACGGATTGGAGATCGAGACATCATGTGTGAAGGTACATGTATATCCAGGGTCCTGTCTTATGGTCACTTTGTGCGTTGGATGGATGGAATGTCTCCAGATTGTCCAAATGTTGTACAGGTAATCAAAACGCTTCATTCACACATAGCCCATCCACCTTTCGCAAGAACACGTATGCCCGCTGGGAGCGTTATCTGCCCACTGCCATGCGTATTCCACACTGTTGTGCCATTCTCATCTTGGAATCGTATGTCCTCGCAAGATTTGCAATATAAGGTCCGCGTGTGATTCTTCTGTTCAAATAGATGTACCGCGCGCTTGTGCTCGTCCCCGAACTGGGCTGTGGTAGAGTCCTGCCAGCTATCTCTCTGCAACGATTAGTTATGGTAAACACAAGTGCAGGAGTAACAACTCACCAAATCTGTTTCCGTGGTTGACATAACTTCAAATCCAGGCCCCAGAGCTTCAGGTCTGGAGCAGGCCAGTTCGTGCGACGGAAACGGACTGGAGTTTTGGCGCCAAAGGAGAGGCCAACGGGCCGTCAGAAGCCGGCGTAGTAGAATCTGGGTGTGCAACGGAATGAAGACGAAGACTCGTTGAGCTAGAGAGCCGATTTAGACATTACGGGAGCGAAAAGGTTGAGGAATGTAGCAAGTTTAGACAGCGGGAGAATCAAAGTATAGTTCAGATGAAGTGGGGTTGGCGGGCATCAAAGCCTAGTTTACCGCGACTGGCCGTCGGTAAGTTGGGCACTGACAGTGGGGTGAGCTGGAGCCCAAGTTCAAAGGGTGCAACGCACCCGGATCTGCTGCCCGTAGTATTTTCATGCCAGCAACCCTTCAGAGTGGCCGATCTGCATGTTGTTCCAACTAAGTTGGCCATGGAGGATGATGCACTTTGGGAACCACACGCCGTGGCCACAACGTCAACTTTCCAGAGAAATCTAAGTAGTACATTTTGATCGCATGCCTTTGTTTGCTACTCCACCACAAAATCTTAAGATAATAGCTATTGCTGGTGTCTTAATAACCTCATCTTCTGGTGGATGGTTTTGGTGTTCGCCGCGCACCGCACCGCGCGCGCATCAACTGAATCAGCACATCAAGTGCACAGGCACGATATAATCCCCTGGAACGATGGCCCGTGCAAACGACTAGTGCCAAGCGCGAGAACACCGACGTTATCCCGCGCCCGTCCCTGTGGTCAGCGCGTTGGTGGCGCGTTCGCCTCCTTACCTTCGATGTACCTTTTCACAATGCACTTTCGATCTTGGTAACTCATGTTTCATTCGGCGTATCTGGTCGAAAGTCTGCCGACGGAACGATGGCTTTCTGCTCAGCTGCGAAAAATGGTTGTTCCATCTCGATCAGAAATACTCGCTCCATACCGATAGAGGATGGATTGAGCAGCGTTCGCAATTCATTCAATTCTCTATGTAAAGACCATGGGATACCGGCTTCTTTGTCCGCTTTAGGTTGGATTGGAATTAAAGGTAAATCGACTTGAGTATGTTCTTGTGCGCTTCTAAAACCTCTTAGATATTCAAAAAAAAATTACTTGCTCTCATATCATCTCGCAAGGTGCAGATCTCGAAGAATCTAGGATAAAACCCAGCTGAAGCCCAATCAAGAAGACACAACGAACCGTTCCTCAGTTTAAGAATGTTACGGGAAGCGATATCAAGATGACACAAATTGTAGGGTTGATCCTCGATATTCAATTTTTCATGACGTTGTAACTGTCGTGTGCTGAAATAGTTTTCAACATCATTAGCGCTCGTTGGCGAGATCCAATCTCCCTCTATCCACAGAAGTCCGCGTGCGAGACCTCCGCCAAGTGGGCCAGGTTGATCATTCTGAATTTGCGAGAAATGAGCTAATTAGTGCTTTGGCAATGCGGTCACATGCTATAGGATCTTCCGTAAAGTTTAGAAGTTTCCATCGATGTATTCCATTATAATGTATCTAATGTCCTTGTATGAGACGAACCGGTGTACTCAGGGAACGCGGATAATTGTCTGGTCAATCAAATCGTACGCTCGGATCTGACTCGTCGCCTCTTCTTGCGTTAATCCATAACCGTATTTGATGACTACGTCGCTTGAGATTCTGATGACCGAATGTCCGCCGTGGAGTTCATAGAGTACATCGCGGTCAAGATTGGAGCGAGCGCAATAGCTGGCGAGCTCTTGGTCGGTAGCTGTGTCGTGTTGAAGGTACATTTTGGATTTCTAGAGATTGCGGAGTATCTGGGTTTTGGTCAGTCGCTTCCTTGGAAGGTTCTATGGTGAGAGGTATTTTACCATCAGATCTGCGCGTGGAAGCGATACTGAAGGCGCAATAAAGGGACGTTGAGAAGGTCGATCGGAAGCCTTCCACTTTCGCTTATTACAGCATTCGACAGAAAAGGCGTGAAAGAGGTGAAGTGACGGTTCTTTCTGCCTTGAGACGCCAAGAATAACTGGAGCGCTTGGCTAAAGCGATGAGGCGAAGATCTGACGATACAAAGCCAAATCACATAGCAGAACGGATATAAGATTATACTTGAGAGTGTCACATATCGCCAACAGTCACAGTAAACACAACACAGTTTTGATAGGCTTGCTAGTCAGCCCAACGCCCTCCGACGAGTTCTGAGCAACGTCGGCTGAAGTTTGGAGGACGAAAGAGCTTGCGACGGCGAAGGCGGGGTAAATAGACGCTGACTGCAGCATTATCACGCGATCACGTGGGCCGGACACACGTTGTCCGTCGCCGACGTTTTGCCGAGCCAGCCTCCTTGGCCTGCGCGCTGGTCGCGTACTTCGCCGCTTGTATCCTCGTCCTCGCCGTACCCTCTCACAATGCACTTTCTGCCTCGGTAACTCATAGTCTCTACGTACGAAAGTCTGCGCATGCAAGCTCGTTCGCGCAACCGAACTACGACTCCTTGAGCGACTGCAAACAATGGCAGCCCCGTCTCGGTTGGAAATACTCAACTCTAAACCCATAGGAGAGGGATTGAGCAGCGTCCGCAATTCGTTTAATACCCTAAGTAGGGACTTGAACGTATCCGACAAAAGTAATACCCACACCTCCTCTGTTGTTCTCACGTCTAAGCCATACTAGAACTGAAAGACCTAGCCGTCCATCTCATCACAGCATTGCAAGGTCTACCAGTTGCCCGATCACTCCCGTCCGTCGCAGGCCGAGGGACTCTTCGCAGTGATCTATTGCGACTTGAACTCTCGACGGAAGCTGACAACTTTGACATTGAACGCATTAAACCACTTCTTCGAGCAGTCCTCGAAAACGAACCTGATGAAGTCGTCTGGAACAGAGTCTACGACGCCGTCACCGAATCGACGCCTCCACCCCGCCCTACCTCGTCCTTCCAACAAACGCCCCTGTCCATCAACACAGGCAGCTTCGCGAACTCGACCGAGCACCGCAAACACGTAGATGATGTGCTGAAGGAGGAGCTGGGATACCTGTACGTTGGCATACCTGGTTTCTTCAAGGCGTTTTTCGAAGACGTGCCAGGGCTAAGACCGGCGGCAGAGGCCGTGTTCAAGAAGTGCAAGGAGGGGGAAAGCCCGCTCTATCAGGTGGAGAGCGGCTGGCAGGGCTGGCCTGAAGGGGCAAAGGAAAAGGACGTTCTGAGCTGGTTCGCGCCGCTTATAGACCAGCTTCTGGACTTTGCGGAAGAGCATATGTCGGGATCCCGTGGTCGACGGCGACCGTTGGCACAGCCCCATCGACCCTTGCAAGGCTCCGCTGCCGATCGCAAGCTGGATATTGGCTTTGTGGACGATCCGAATGCCGGCGTGGACTCGAAGTGCCGCTGGTCACAGATCCTCATACCTGGAGAGCTCAAGAGCAACCCGCTGGCCGACAAAGCGTCCAAGGCGTGGCTTGACCTCGGCCGATACGCGAGGGAGGTGCTCGCTGCTCAAGACAGCCGCCGCTTCGTTCTTGGCTTCACTCTCTGTGGACCCTTTATGCGGCTGTGGGAGTTTGACCGACTTGGAGGCATCGCCTCCGAGCAATTCGACGTCAATGAAGATGGACTGCAGTTTGTGTCTGCAATGCTTGGGTTTCTTTGGATGAATGAGGAGCAGCTGGGGTTCGACCCGACGATCATTACAGTTGGAGACAAGCGGTACATTGAGATCGAGCGGGACAATGGCAAAGAGCGCCTCGTCATTGACAGGGTCATAAAGAGGGTGCCTTGCGTCGCTGGTCGAGCAACAACCTGCTGGAAAGTTTATCAAGAAGAAGATCCTGGCACGCCGCTCGTTGTCAAGGATTCATGGCAGTATCCGGAGCGCGAAGAGGAAGGCGAACTGCTACGCGCGGCGACTGAGAAGGGGGTGGTGAACGTTGCAAGGTACTTCCACCACGAGACGGTTCGTGTAGGTGGTCAAGATGACGACATCCGCGCAAACGTACGGAAAGGCCTGGACGTAACGAAGGCGACGAACTACAAGCCAGAGAAAGCGATGCTGCCACCGAGCACGACCGGACGCCGGACCTCGCGAAGGGATGGAAGCAACAACCTCATCGGGCGAAAACGATCCTCGAGTTGTACAGACGCACCTTTGCCGCCTAGCAAGCGCACTTGCTCGAGCTCTCCAGTGAAACGTGCTGTCTCGAATCGGGTACACCGCCGTGTCATCGTCAGCGACTACGGGAAGGCTATCTACAAAGCAAGCTCCCAGATCAGTCTGCTGGCTGCATTCGAACAATGTATCGAAGGGTATGAGTCGTTGCATACACGAGCAGGCATGCTTCAACGCGACATATCGCTAAACAATCTCATGGTGAACGAAGATAACGATAACCCTTCCTGGCCCGCGTTTTTGATCGATCTCGATCTTGCCATCAAAGAACAGCGCGAAAAGTCTTCAGGCGCTCGGGGTAAGACTGGTACCAGAGCATTCATGGCAATCGGGGTTCTTTTAGACGACGAACAACACTCCTACATGCACGATCTTGAATCTTTTTTCTGGGTGCTATTCTGGATATGCATTCATTATGATGGTCCGCAGGAAGCGAGGATCGTTCCACGGTTCGATAAATGGAACTACCTCGATTCAGAAGAGTTAGCTGGCGCAAAAAAAGGCGTCGTGGATGATGAACGAGACTTTCTCAAAACAGCCCAGACCAACTTTACGCCATATTACCAGCCATTACTCCCATCTGTTAATAAGCTTCGGAGGAAAGTATTTCCTAATGGTGAGAGATGGAGGTCTCCCAACCCACAGCTGTACCTTGATATGAAGCAGATCCTCCAGGTGGCTCAGAATGAGCTGAAAGAAACGAATGGATGTGCCTAGCACAAGAAACCAATCGAGGCATAATCATAGGCTTCACAATGGCTACAGATGGTATGTGCAGGTTTTCAAATCATTGGAAAGTGGGCTGTGAACGACGACCTTCGCACGGTTACCCTCAGCTCGTGGTACAATGGCCCATCTGTTTAGACAACGTTTGGGAAGCTAACGCAGCGGCGTCCGGGTACCTCCATCGCATACATCACGTTGCGCACCGCCGAGCTAGCCGATATCAAGCCAGCGCTGTAGAGGGATAATCGACAGCGTTATGCCCCTTGCCTTATTGAATGCCAGTCTGTCGCACATTTCGTGAATGAAAGACGATGATGAGGCTGATGCGCTTATCGGCACTTGGAGCCGTGGCTTTTAGCGCAGCTGGCTGACTTGCTGCACGAGCTTAAGGCGTCGCGGTAATTAACTTCAGACATAGACACTGCAAGCAAAACTACAGTGAAGAAGGGGCAAAATCTAAGCGCATACTTCATCGAAAAAACAAAAAGGAACCATTGCCATGTATATTCAGCCGTGATAATTTGCTTTCGTTGCACTGTGTACCACCGGAGGGGAGTTTGGGCGCATCAATGAGACACTCCGTGAACGTCAAGCGCATGCCTCTTGAAATGTATCATGTCAACCAGCATGACGGAACAACTAGGGTGGCAGCATTGAAACCCCGACCGAAGTTCAGGGAGTCGGAAATGGGTCTCCACATGCTTCTTCAGGACATCCTTTCGTGGAACATGGCGCATCCTCCGTTCGTATGAGAACTCTTCATTCCCTATGCAGATAAGACACACCGGATAAGGAAGCACGGTTGGGTAGAGCTTCCCAGACTGTACCTCCAAGACTCTTCTGCGCTTTGGCACGTCAAGCTCTTCTTCCGCAATCTCGCCATCCTGGTTACTCGGGCTCTTCTCAAAAACCTCAGCGCACCTCTTTCGTTCGTTCGAGTAAGATGAGCCATTGGCTTCACATGCGACCGGAGCCACCTGTTTTCGCTTAAACGCCTTTGGCTGTCGCGTTTCTTGTTTGTGGCATAACTTAGCCAAGGTCCGCACAAATCTTACCCGGGCTTTGTCGTCCTGAATCGGCTTGAAAAGCATGCCGGCAATGGTGGCTCGCTCGCGAAGTTCAAACTCAACGGCTGGTAGCGTCAGGACTTCGACTGCGGCCTTCCCACTGAGTTGCCTGGCTATCCCGATTGTATCGATCGATTCATGGAACTCGTTGTAGGCCGCATCTAATCGTTCTCTGTACAATCTCTGGTATGTACTGCCAATCTTTCGCTTCGTGTCCTCGTATTTCTTGTAAAGATCCGTCCCTTGACCCTTCGAAAGTGGCTGAAAGCCTTGGTCGTGAAGCTGTTCTTTGTATGTTTCTCGCTCCTTACGAAGGACCGCGAGTGCGGGGTCGTTCCGTAATTCCTCCTGTTGCGCGTCATCCAGCTCCGTTGGTGCACGTCGATCCCGTGATAAGCCCATGCGTGCGACAGATTCGATGAGAAGGTCTTCTGAAGGACTTCCAAAGTAGATGGATTGAAAGTCGCGGGCAATATGTGTTGGTGTGTAGTACTTCTCGTATGTACTCCCAAGATTACCCATAGTCTGATTCCGTTCAGCTGGGTTCAGAGCGCCTGGTGGATCCTATAAGCTTGGGCGAAGCAAGAGCAACACACGATCTAAGGCAGACTTACTGTTTATGTTCCTCCCAGAAGCCCGACGGAGCTGGTACAGCTCCAACGATTTCTCAAAGCCCGCAACACGTCCCAAGCGTACGAATATATCGCGGTATTTCGCATATGGAAACGCTTGTTCTGTTAGTATCCGGATACCCTCGCTGGTGTTCCTAACATCGCATAGAAATGGTTGGTTTAGGAATTGCTTTTTCCATTTGATGCGGAGTACGTCACGGCCCGCAGGTATATTGAGGTCGAATATCTCCTGAACATGAATAAAGTCATCCCTCAATGCTCCTCGACTAACGCCAATGCTCAGGATATACGAAACTATGCAGAAGGCGAGGGTCCCTTCTAGATGGAAAGAGAACTTTTTCCTGCAAAACAACACTAATCAGCGAGACTTCTTAATTCCCATATCTGCTAGTCAACTTACGGTTTCCCACCTCTTTCTTTATTTTTTATGTTCTCAAGATCGACATTCGCCGTGACGGTACTCCGGTGGGGATCCTCAATGCTGCGAACCTTCAGAATCTCGATGTTCTTGAACGAGAGTGCCTTGTTGCTACCTTTGGCACTAGCGCTCTCGACAATGGCTCCAGGTCTCGTCGCTGTAACGCGCTGAGAAGTAGAAGCAGCGATATCTGAACTCGAATAAAACCATGGAGGGGTTTGGTGTCATCCACCCAGAGTGCGTGAAGGATGGCGTAGAGGTCTTGGACGTACATGGCAAGCTTTTCCTTCTGGGATTTATCAAGCATTAGAGTTGGAATCCACTACTACGATGTTAGCGTGCCATGATGCAAGGGAGAAATACGTCCTTCAGAACATACATTACCAACGTCGGTGAGGATATCAGTATCCATTTTGTGGCGTGTGAGATCCGTGTAACACATGCTTAATCTTTTCCAATAGCTCCGTATCGAGCTTTCCTTCTTAAGCCGAGAATGTTTTTTCCGCCAGCGGAGGTACGCTTTGAATACCTCTGGTTCGCATGCGCGTAGCTGTTCTTCTGGGGATCTCTTGGTCTTGTCCTTAATTTTATTGCAGTACCTGGTGCGCACTGGTTAAGAGTTGATGACGATTAGGCGCAAGCGAATGGCATAGATCTCACCTCTCCCAGTGCTCGCCTTCCCTCTTCCATAGCTTCGTCGTTTGCTTGGTATGGTTTGGCTTTGCTGGCCCCTCCGTCCTCAGTTGGGCAATGTCCTCCAGTATCTCTTCAGCTTCAGATTCTAAGTGGGGGTCTAGATCCTTATCCAGCACGAGACCCGCATCTTCACCAGTGCCTGGCTCGATGCCTTCATTCGCCTCAATGTCAGGGTCGGTGTACGTGTCAGATAACGACTCGGTGCTTGAGTCTCCTTCCCAACACGAGTCGGGGTCGGTAGCTGAGGACGGGTTAGATCGATGCGATGGTTGGAGCTTTCGCGTCGGAGCGACGTTGGTTGCAGTGGACGTGGCTAACGCCCTCATTGCAGCAGGAAGCGAGCAATTGGAGGAAGGGGAAGGAGGAGTAGGAGAGCCGATAGCGATGGCGGGTGGAGGGTGGGCATTCCATCACTTTAAGTAGGCGCCGGGCCACAGGCAAGTTGGTTGTATGCGTCGTACTATTCTTGGGTTTCGCTGTAGCGCTGGTGGGAGTCGCAGCTCCGCCCCTCCTCACCCTTCAAAACCCCGCTAGGTAGAGTGACAGGGACTCCTTGGCGAGGTGAGGCTCCGCTGCGCATGGTTTCGTTAAAGCGGCAGTAGAACAGGGCCTAAGCGAGGTGAAAACACCTCCAAAAGCAGCGGCCAAACCACCCCCAAAACGGCTGCATTTCCACTGCTACATAGATATGTATAGTTATTTACTTCATTTTATTCTTTTGTTGTTGTAGAGAAAGAGGGACCTAAAAGTACAAGAGTTTTGTTGTTCCACCTAAAGTAGGCTTGTTTTGGTGAGGTTGCAGTCCGGCCAATTTTCCGGACCGCGTGACACGTAAATTGTTGCGATCCAAATTCTCGCATGTGATCTTGGCCTGTGTAGGGCGAGAAGGTCAGACTTGTCGGAGGGATAGATAGGCGAAATGCCCGTGTCTGGCACCAGTTGTCTGAAAACTCGACCATTGGCTGTGACATAGGCAGTAGTTGTCCCATATTGGGTGTCGGATGGGAGTACTGATTCATCTAGGTAACAGTCAGAACATATCTTGAGGGGGACAACAACTCCTAAGCGCACCTTGTGCTCTACAGTGTTGAGTTGAGCTTCATATTTTGAAGAGACAAACATACTAGGATTACCACTACTGTACACGACGCTGAAGTCATCCTTCGTTTGATCCTCTGTACGTCCTGGATGATGTACAATAGCGGACGCATAGTAGCGAATGGAGACAAGTTGCCATCTGTACTGTTCACAAAGGTCTTGACGATGCCTTGGTATCCTGTCCTTGCGTTTCCGATTCTCGAGGGTGTACGAGGAGATACGAATTAGCATAGCTTGATCATCACCGCCGAAATCCTACAATGTGGTCAGAGAAATATTCCATCGCAGTAATGACTGCAACAAAACATGAGGTTTCATCCTATGCACTTGCGATACCCTGTATGACATCGATCGTTGTCGTAGTGGTGAAACTGGAGCTGCCAAATGCGAGCGTTGTCGAAAGGCACCCTGTCCTGGACTCATGTAGAACAGGCGGGTGGCGAAGCTGGAAATAACCACCAGGTTGACGTAGAGTCAACAATGCGACCACACCTTTACTGAATGTTGATCCACGCTTCTTGGTATTCATGATTGCTGAAGGAGTGATGCGAAAAGCTCAGCAAGGACTTGGCGCTTTGGCTTGGAGGTACAGTAGACTGTATCATGAGCTATCTAATGTGCAACTTCTGTGCGTGTGGCTTGAGATGGGGTATGGGATTGAGTTGGAGGATACGAAACTGCATTTCCCGCCTGTTCGTCCATGGTAACTGTGGATGCGGGGATTGATACTACTGCGCGGGATCTGGATGTCCGCGACAGATAGTCAAGCTTCGATTGAGTCTTGGCGTACCTTTTGTACAGTCTGTGAGGGTTCTCTGTGGTCTTTGTGGTGTGGCGGAAGGATGTGACTGAGACATGATGTGCGAGGTCGGCACAGCGCGGTTCGCGCCTCTAATCTTTACGAGCAGCATGATTCTCCCAGCATCACGTCTTCGCAAGTCCCGCCACGCGAGATAACATGACCATCACTCCATTCATGTACCTTGGATATGTGATCGATCACGAGCAATGCAAGGAGTCTGCCCCACAAGGCATACCCCGGATCTAGACACGGTGTTCGTAGCCAATCATTGGCCAGCGAGATGAGGACTTCGGGCTTCATGTTCTCGAAGACTACTCATCTGGGCTACTCATCTGGGCAATGAGTGCGCTGATGAAACCAGACGGCCGCATAGGGCTGATTTCGTCGATAAGTCACAAGTACTTAAGCAAATTGACGTGCTCACTCGTGTGGCGTCTGCCATATAAACCAACCGGACTTGACTAACAGTCTTGAGTGAACTATCGATATTATCAACAGACATGACGGCTATCGCGTTGCACGATGTAGACCGTAACGGCAATTTCAAAGATGGAGGAGCAATCCGCCATCGAACAGTCTTCAAGGCCGATGCACTCACCCCAGACTCATCACAAGATGACTACGATCCGTGGCTCGAGGCACCACACGACAACAAAACCTCGAAACTGCCACTAACCTCCCTCCCTAGGGTTAGAACATCCCACCACGCAGAACCACGAACATCGTTCAAGCACCACCAACTCAGCCCCGTCATATAATGAAGGCTAAGCTAGCTTGGAACTACACTCCGGACGTGTCTTCGCCTACTGTATGGCTGGCGTGATTTGTCCCCCCGTTTTTGAGATTTGTCCCCCTCCGAAGTACCGAATTGCTTTGCATCTACACAACTTAACACCAGCAAGATTTTAAATAAACTTTCAAACGTCAAAAAATCTTCTAGGGCCTCGCAAAGCTCCCATGAAAATTTGAAGCTAAAGATTAGTCTGTGTTGTAGTTGAATTGCATGTTAAAGTTAGTAGCATTTTCGAAGAAATCGCAAACTTCAAGTCCACTTAGCTCATTCCCATCTCCGTCGAAGTTTACAAAATACAAGCGAGAGGTACTCTAGTGCATGCGAAACGTATTCCAAGCTTCAAAGATACAAATTACACGCAGTGTTGCGGTGAAATTGCATTGCGGAGCGCAAAAGTTGACATTTTCGGTACTTCGGAGGGGGACAAATCTCAAAAACGGGGGGACAAATCACGCCAGCCATGCTTACATAGCGGGGTTACGCACGCTTAGCGGTATGCATTGTACACCTGCGCTATGCTAAGACGGCTTAGGCTGTGGCGCATGCTGGCTATCTTTAGCCACGTCATCTCCTGCCCAATGGTCCTCTTTCTTGCGCCTCCACAGGTCGACACCCCCCATCATAGCCCGCCCCGATGCTTAGCAAAGCGAGGCAGTCTACTCTTTTCCCCATGTGTGAACATGCACATACCCGCATCTATCAACGTTAACGGCGGCACGCGAGAGCGCAAACGATCGATCTAACAGCTTGTCAGGCTGTCGCGCTTCCATGCTGTCCAGCCTGATGCGAGCAATGACCGAAGCTCCTCCATCACAACATGCGACTGCTCGAGATACAACATGACGGCACGATCGCGCTCACAGAGGACTTGATAGGCGCCGGCAACGTGCCCGCCTACGCTATACTCTCGCACACCTGGCTGCCTAGTCAGGAGGTCACCTTCGACGAGTTCACTAGAGGTCTGGGATACGACAAGGCTGGCTTCGACAAGATCCGCTTCTGCGCACAACAGGCTCAGCCGGACGGCCTACGGCACTTTTGGGTGGATACGTGTTGCATCAACAAGGCAGATGCCGCCGAGCTTCAGCATGCGATCAACTCCATGTTTCGCTGGTACCAGGAGGCGACTCGATGCTATATTCTTCTAACGGATGTGCTCGGCGCTGGGCCAGCGACCGACCGTGTACCCGGAATACCTGCTTGGGAAGGGGGATTTCGGCGAAGCCGGTGGTTTACTCGAGGTTGGACGCTGCAAGAACTGCTTGCCCCACGCGTCGTAAGCTTCTACTCTAGAGACTGGACGCATCTAGGCGACCGATACATCTTAAAACAACTCATCCACGACATTACAAACATCCCCTACCTTGCCCTTGCGGGAGCTCCGTTGGACACCTTCAGCGTAGAGGAGCGCCTGTCTTGGTCGAACGAGCGTCAGACTACGCGTGAAGAAGACAGGGCGTACTCGTTGCTGGGTATCTTTGGCGTCTTCACGTTCCTCAACTATGGCGAAGGCGAGACCAATGCTTTCAAAAGGCTACGAAAAGCGATCGCGGAAGACTCGCGAGAATCCTCCCAGCCACAAGCGTCAGTGGGAGTCTTGGAGGGCGCATCGCCACCTATACACCTGGTACGTACAAAGGCAGCCGGATAGTTAGCTTTCTGTGTGTCTGATCTTGCGCTGACCTGCAGCTGCCCACAAACCCTCCTACTACATACCGTTCCCCAAGAACCGATACTTCGTCGGAAGGAGAGAAGAGCTCGAGATACTCAATCAGACGCTGCTAGAAGGTACAGGCTGCCAAAAGATGTCAATTGTGGGACATGGGGGGAGGCTGGGAAGACACAGCTAGCCTTGCGGTTTGCATGTACAGTCAGAGAGACCATGTCAGCCGTCTCGATCTTCTGGATGCCTGCACTCAGCATGGAGAGCTATGAGCAAGCCTGTGTGGCCGTTGCAGCTGCTTTGCACATTAGTCAGGCGGAGACGGGCGAAGGTAACGCAAAAGAGCTGGTGAAAGAGCATCTGAGTGCGGATCAGGCAGGACCGTGGCTACTTGTGCTCGATAATGCAGATGACCACGACATCTTATATGGCACCGAGCATGCTGCGGGCATCATCGACTACCTACCGGAGAGCGAGAAGGGCATGACCGTGTTCACCGCAAGGGTGCAAGAGCTAGCCGTGTCGTTGACACGAAGTGACGTTCTAGAACTGGGGTCCATGAGCAAACCAGATGCCACGAACTTCTTGGAGAAGTCTTTGGTCAATAAAAACCTCACTGAGGACCGCAAAGAGGTAGAAGAGCTATTAGACGAGTTGGCGTGCCTCCCTTTGGCCATCGCCCAGGCTGCCGCGTACCTGAACATGAACAGAACAACTATCACAAAGTATCTGCGGCTGCTGCGACACATAGAGCAAGACACCGTCAGTCTGATGAGGAAAGAGTTCCTCGACCAAACACGCTACAAGGGCTCGGCGAACGCAGTGGCTTCGACGTGGGTAGTATCGTTCAATCAGCTTCGAGAGCGCGATGCGGTGGCAGCAGATCTGCTAGCGTTCATGTCGTGCATCGAGTGGAAGGCAATACCGCAGTCGTTGTTACCGAAGGTGCAGTCGCAAGAGCGGATAGAAGAAGCTATCGGCACGCTCTGCGGATACTCTTTTGTGTCGAGGCGGGAAGGCGACAACACTGGTGAGGTCGATGGAGGGGAAGAATGGTACGACTTGCATCGACTTGTGCATCTGGCTACAAGGGTCTGGGTAGACAAGTATGGCAGTACTGCAGATGTGGCGCAGCAGGCTCTGGCGCACATTGCCAAGGTTTTCCCTAGCGACGGCTTTGCCAATCAGGCCGTATGGAGAAGATATATGCCGCACGCACTGCGACTACTTGACACAAAGACATCTGTTGATGTTCAAAGCAGAGCCAAGCTGAGTTTTTGGTTGGGGCGATGCCTACATTTCGACGGTAGAGTTCCAGAAGCAGTAAGATGGCTAGAGGAGTGCTGGCGGTGCAGAGAAGTGCTGGATGAAGATGATGCAGATCGACTGGTAGCGCAGCATGATCTTGGTGTTTCCTACCAGGCGAATGGACAGATCGAGGACGCTGTGAGGCTGCTAGAGCATGTGGTTAAGGTGCGCGACGCTACACTCGTAGAGACTCACCCCGATCGGCAGGCATCGAAGGGCTGGTTATGCTATATGACTTCGCACCAAGATTAAATTCGACTCTTTCTCTTCGAGCATCCCTATTTCGAGCATTTTCGGCAATTTTGCTTAATGCATCGCTTCAACATCCCTCAGGCGGTCAGGCGCTTTAAAGACCATGCTTTAGGGACGGGTCTGGGGACACACTTAAGCATAATTATTGCGACTTGACAAAGATCTATACAAATCGTAAACCCATCTCAGAAATATCAAGACCTGTAGAGTACTCCGCTCAATTGCAAAGTTCCGAAGACATATCTTGCATGTCTAGGAGATTTCTGGCATACTCATATAACAAAGCAGATTTGAGCCATATAGACTCAGATATCTGAACCATGTGAAGTCCTAGTACATCCTCGCAACCGGGATTCTCCATGAGGTCGCTGGGATGTTGTCTGATGCTATCACTTCGCCAGTTCGCACTGCCTTACTCGATGACAGTGGAGTTTCTGACGCCGGTTTCTTGCGCTTGCGGCCACGCTGTCCCTTCTGTGCTGCAGCCTTGTCCTTTGCCGCCCGCCTCACCTTCGCCTCTTCCAGGTCCTCAAAACTCATCACTTTCGCCTTTCCTAGCACGATGGACCTGGTCGCCCTAAGCTTCGTTATTGATTTTGAAAAGAAATCGGTTGCGGTCCTTCAGGAGTGCTCGCTCAGCGAACGAAATCTGAGCAGCATTTGCGAGTTTCTGGAAGTTATCTTGCGTTGCAGTAGCTCAAAATAGGCCTTGTGTTTGCTCTTAAAGTCGGCGGCGTGGCGATTTCGATCCATCGCAATCGCCCATTTTGATATGAGATAGGCATCGTTGCGGTTGATGAAGCGCGTAACCCACGACTCCGAGACCTCTTTTTGGCTATTGTAGAGGCAAAGTTTCGTACCACGTCGCGCGTAGGTGGCAGATGATGCTTAAAGAGTCTCTCTATGTAGCGTACGAGCTCTGCCTCTTCGTGCTGAGTTAGGTTTTGTTGGATTGAATTCTTGACGTTATTTGGCTGCTGAATGCCTTGGTGTCTGCGCGTCAGCGTATGATGGCTAACACCAAGTCTTTTCGCGACCTGTCTATACGAAAAAGTTTCGCCTGGCTCGCACGATTCGGTTGATTCAATCGCAGCCTGAATTGGGTCAATATTGGTGGAGCTATCGCGTGATGGAGTTGGGTTGTTATTGTGTTGGGTGTCTCGCTACGCGAACTGTCTCGTTACGCGCACAGACACGGTACGGGAATCGTTCGCACGGACGCGAAGCAACATTAGCGCGTAGAGTCACATGATCGCCAAGGAAAGAGATTCAGCTTGGAACCAGTTATTCATTGGTGAACCCATTGCACCAGACGTCCATCGAACGCCCAGACCTCTTAACAATCGTCGCCGTAGAGCATCAGTGTGGAAAAACGTCCAATTGGGGAACGGTATTTCGGAAATATTTCTATCGTTTTCTACACACTCGTTTCACCTCCGTCCTCTGGGGCGACACCGCGGACGAGCCTTCCACGATGCCGGGCTCTTCATCTACGAACACCCCACGAAGCCCATAGCCCCACGAAAGTCTGACCGCGCTCTAGAACCGGCTCTGAAGATTGCAGAAAGGCAGCAGGGCTTCGAGACGACAGCACAGCGAAGGACAGGATGCAAGCGGTCCTCAGCGGTTCACCTTCGTACGCCGATATAACCCCCCTCCCCGAAGAGCCAGCCCAGCAACCTACAGACCGTGTCTGCGAACACGACGCCGTCGACCATGACCGACACACTCTACTGCACGATCGACAGTCTGGGGTCGAGGCGGACAGGGACAAGGCGAATCCAGGGAAGATTAGACAAGCCATCGAAACAGAGATGCGCGCGGGCGAATTGGCGATGCGTGGCGGTGGTCAGGGCCCCCAGGAACACCGACTGGATCAGGGTAACGTGCAGAGTCGAACACGAGGCAGTCCAAGAAGCAGCCCACAAGACGGCAGCCAGGGGGGCAATGGCTGCTCTGTTTCGCCTGAGATCGTAAACATGCATTACAAGATGGGGTTCGAACCCAGGCTCCGCTGACAGTTGAAAGGCACATGGCTAAGATTAGAATCGTCGCGACACTTTTAGACTGCTGGCGCGGGCGTTTTTGGCCCATGTTGACGGACTAATGTAGAGATTAGCCATCCGCAGAAGGGGACCCAAACGGGCACCTTGATTCGAAATCCAGACCATGCCAAGTCACCATAGCGGACCGTCCCATACCATAGAAAATTGCTGGGCCAAAGACAGGAGCCAGCAACCTCGCCCAGCGCATTCCGGTCAGTCCATGGTCCGGTTCGTGTAGGACGGAGCACATTCCAGGTTCCCGTTGGTGGTCTCGATCCGCATTTTCTGGTGCCCGTTTCGGGCCCTGTGAGCTCAACCAATCGACCAATCAGAAACAATCGCCCATGCTGGGGCTCAGAACGGGATCCAGAAGACCAGAACAAGCGCCTGCCGTGATGTCATACTTGATGCTATATATAACAAAGCAGTCTATAACATTGTGTAGACTTGTCACTCGTACCTTCTAACGTGGATCTATGGCGTCTCTACAGCAGTCACAGGTGCTGTCGCACTCGAAGGCCAGGCGGGCTGCGAACAATAACTACTCGAAGCTAACTCAGACCCTCTACGCAAAACTCACTAAGCTTTGCCTCGAATATAATAACCACATCTATTTTCTAGCCTATCGCAATGGTCGATTCAACGGATTCGTATATCAGAGGAGACCGGTCGGCCTTGGTCACCACCAGGTCAAGATGCTCTCGTAAGCACCTACCTCTCTGCTGTACGTTGTTAACACTAGTTAAGGACAACTTGTATCCTCCGCCAGTTATAAAAACGACAGCTCATTGCCGTCGCGCTCCACGAGCACAAGTAAAGGTGTCCTTTCCAGCATCATCACGTAGGTCAAACGAAATGGCGTAGTTTCGGTCTAGGCAGAGCACATGAATCAATGGATTACCTCAGACTAATCAAATCGTGCCTATTCAACGTATGTTACCTCCAGGCCAAGAAAATCTAATTAATTAATCCTTCCTCTACGAAACTTGTCCTCGCTAACACTACTTCTCGGCTAGAACAAACTACACCCGCCGCCGGTGATGAAGTCACCGACTTATTGCCCGGCGTAGCCCGGGTCTAGCGGGGCTAGACCGGTAAGGAGGATTACGTCAGGGAAAGATCAGCCTGATGACTAAGGAGCGCAGGCGCCAAGTCAACCTCAACATCTCAGTTACACTACTACAAGTCCGCATGCTTGCTCTCCATTCACGTGTACATAGTATACATTCAAGATTATCCTACGTTGCCAGTAGATTGCGAGCTTTCTCGTTCATCTCAGCCCACTCTCGAATGAACTCTTTCCACTTCACCTTTTCTTTTTCCAGGCTTCCAGCGCTTCGACCCTCGCCTCCAGATCCTGTATAATTTTCGTGGACGCGCCTTCCTCCTATACATGCATGAGCAACCTGCTCCGTTTTTCAGGCCATGGTAGAATAGCTTACTGTTCCAGAAATCTCTCTCTTGACGCTAGGACGCCCATCGTCTGGGTCAGAATCTTCGCAACGAATTCGCTTATCAGGCCGGTCTGCCTGTTTGCCGCCGTGGAATACCGGGCCTAACTGAAATAGCACACCGCCTTGCGGACCTGCGAACTCTTCGGCTGGCTACCGCAAGGACAGGTAAGTACAGTGGAAATACACACTGCAGAGTCACTGACCTGAAAATCCATGCCCTCCATATATACTTCCATGGTAAAGTAGTTGTCTTCAACGGTGGCGAGGGAATCACTTGAACTCTGTGACAAGTTCTTTGCGAGCAGTTGGGTGGGTGACATACAGACTTGCTATCAGTCAGTTGGATCTACAGACTGAAAACCTAAATAGGAAATCCCGGACGGAAACTAGCCTTATTGGGGTTTCAGTCTGTAGATCCAACTGACTGATAGCAGGTCTGGTGACATAACGAACCAAGGGGCGATGCAAGCGGTGGACGAGGCGGAGACAAGTGAGACCTTTGTGTTTCCCTCCGACTCCGTATCTGAGAAAGCGAGGCGCACCCTGACTTATGGACGCAGCTTCGGTCGCATGTCTCCCCTCTGTGCATTACCCCTAGGCCTCCCATTCCATTCTGGGGTGAGGAAGGGGTACTACTATTGACGGCGCGGTGACCATGTTGGCCGCTGTATGGGTAGACGCAGCCCAGCGCCTCCACCAACTCTGGTTCGATGTTTCCGCTGGCAAGGCACGGGCATGCAAGACGAATGACCCGTTCTTCCACCATCGCTAGCACCAGCTGCCCCTTTCCGCTAGCAAGGGGAGATTCATGCGAAGAGACATTCCTCCACGGCTGTTGGTAGAAGAGATACCCCGGACCCTGGGCTGCAATGAGTGCGGGCTGTGTGAGCGGTATGGACGCTCGGAATTCGCACGTCTCCGGTCATGCGTCTGTTCGCGCCATCAGGACCGAGGCTCGGATGCCCCGTCGACAAGGGTTCAGACAGAGTTCTCGTCTCCCCTGCAGGTTGATCAAGACACGACCGTGCTAGTAGGCTGTCTGACGGCGTTGAGACATTGGTGAAGCCCTGTAGGTTGGGCGCAGCTCGTCGCAAGGCGCGGAGCCACTGAGGGGGGCATCTCTGGAGACGATAAGGAGTCCCCTTCGCGTCAGACACTCAACGGATCATCTCTCCCCATCATGGACCTCGTTCTTCATATTGGCTTCCTTCTCGGTTTCGTAGGCGGACTTCTGCTGAGCATTGTGCTCTTTTTCAAGGATGCCGCCGCACTATTCAGCAAGAGCAAGCACGCGTGTTTCTGGGAGACAATGGTATCTGTCCTCTTTAGCATCTGTCAAGCCGGCTTGTCAACAACTGGCATAATCGCCATCCGGATCGCATTCACCGCGGATACTGAGCCTTCGTGGCTAAACGCAGTCATCCTGTGTACCCTTCAGCTGTTCATCGGCACCAATGTAAGTACTCCCTACACCAGATGGGTTCACGAACTTATACTACAGGTAGCTTGCCTGGACAGTACGTGGCTTCGATGATTCGCACCGGGCGGTATGGCTAGCCTATGGTAGTATCGTCTGGACCGCACCTGATGTTGCCTTCCGTATGAGGTACGTGACCTTTCCTTTCCGTTCCGGATCCTTCTCATCTAGGCAGAGGTGACCTCGTTCACGAGTACGAATTGCTGTCTCGCGGTGCTATAGCATCCGCCGTGCCGTTAGCGCTTTGGTACCATGCTCGACGAACCCATATGTCCTCTGGAAAGCACGACGCCGACTATATTCGGACACTAGTACTGTGTATCGTTACCAACGCAGCTGCAACGTTATTTCAGATGGGTGGAGCCATCGTTTTCTACAGTCTTTCGCTTGCCGATCAGAAAAGAAGCAATCTCCGCCAGGCTATCTTTCTTGTACGCCTCACCTCCTGAGATGACATCACCTAACACGAACAGGCTTGTTTCCTCATGCAAGCGGTGAACTTGTTCACTGTGTGCAAGGCCACTATCAAACGCTTATTCATTCAGTGCAAGGCCAAAATCAAAGATCGGTTCCCTTTGTACATGGCAACCATCAAACAACACATTATTGAGCTTTTCAGACGCTCGGCTCGTACCAGAAGTAGTGATCCAGAGGGTGCAGTACGATTGGATAGTCTTTGAGCCTTTGAGGACTCACAAAGAGGAAGTCACTTTATGCAGTGTGTAGGATGCAATGTGGATAACAGAAACAGTCGGATGTTCTGTGCTAGTCATAACCTCGAATGGAAAGGGACCAGTATCAGCTGTCGAACTAATCGTGCCATTTACATTCATCGCCTTCTGCGGTCTTGTGATCTGAATTGCTATCTCGGGATAACCTCCTCCCTCGTGGCTTGGTACTCGCCACCATCGAAGCACTTCGAGCACCAACAGCTTGCCCAGGCCACCGCGGAATCGCGTTCGGGCATAGGCTTCGTCCACGCTGGGATGCCTGTGTCATGCGTACGGTCGGAGCCATGTCCAGCCCCCAGGGTGGCTTCGGCGGCTGCCTTCCTTTTGCGATGGCCTTCACACCTTCGATTGGAAGCATTGGGTCAGAGGCATCGAGCCTGCAGGGGACCGCATCTCCCCGTCTCCCGTCTCCTAGGAAGCCGGTCAGCTCATCGGTGTTTCGATCATGCAAGGCAGACTGGAATCAGTTGTCCCCTCCGGGTACGCGTCCCAGCTGTGCCTTCCTTCTGGCGGCAACATAATGCCGATGGGCTAGAAGACGCGCTTGGCCCTGTGTTCTGGATGTATCTACCTCGCAGCAACGGAGTCCGATAGACCAGGACGGCATGGCCATTAGCTTGACGTGGTGGTTGCCGCTGCGGCATGCACATCGCCACCTATGTAGAGAGCACTTGGAATCCTGGGTGCCTAGGCAAGACGTTTCATATGGTGGCTTGTGTCGCAACCTTCATGCGAGGCATGATAAGGGGGTGATTGTTGCAGATAGTCTCACTGGTCAGCAGAGGCGTTATCTGGAATGCGGGTTTTTGTAAGGGGCTGCGCAAAGTATGCCGATGCCTGGTAACAGGATTGTATTCGATGAAGAAGAAAACCTATCTATGGTGCTGCGATATCTATATACGTTTAGCTTATCGTTCGCGTAGCATCTTGAAGCTTCTAGAATGCCGAGGAGGCTCCGAAGGTTCCACCGAGGATCACTATAGCATCCGGGCTCTAGCCCGTTACAGTTTTGGAGCCCTTTCCACACTGCTCTTGCACTTGGAATTGGTCGCCATAGACGGCATAGATCTAATTAGTCTGTTTCAAGAACGAAATAGAAGATCAGTCGAGCATCGAGGCGAGCACAGGTGGAGCAGGATCAAACAGTGGTGTCGTAGGCAAGGGAGCTGGGAAGGGCAGAGAAACTTAGAAAGGAGGCGGATGCGAGGCTTCGGACCATCCCCACCAATGCTCTTGCTGATCCCGGTGGGACATAGCCACAAGTACGGAGGTGACGGATGGTGAGGGCCGGGTATGCCTTGTGATAGGGCCCTCAGCCAGTTGATTGGAACCTACCGCTCTTCACTTTATGCGTACAGGTCATGCGGCACACTGCCTCTGCGAATCGCCCCAGGTGCAGTCTCAGAATCCCAACTTCGAGGCGTAGGCCGTCGTTCCCGGCGGCAAGAGGTGATGTATATTAAGCCTCCCTGAGCCCGTCCTGCTCCTAGTTCACTCATCACACGCACTCCTCCTTTGGCTTCGCGAGCTGTTCTACGCCCACCACGGATAGTCTCACATTTCGGATTTCAACGACGAACAAGTCGACAACATGGACCAGGTACGTTAGCAGGATCACTCACAACGCTTTGTTGGGTGCTAATGAACGTATAGAGTTGGGAGATGCTAAGCTCTGACTCTCTCCTGGATGCTGAAGGAGATGCCGATTCGAGCCTTGGGGAGACATCATGGCCCGAAATCGACGCCCCGGAGACGCAAGCAGCAGATGTCTTGTGCAATAATGGGGCTATCGACGGGAGTCAAGCCAGTGGACATGCCAGTATAGAACCATGCCTTCCGGAGCATCCTGCGGCGCTTACTGCTTCGCAGACGGGAGCAACAGTCGACCAAGCGATTGATCAGGCCATGGCTTCGATCTTGGAGCCGGAGATGTCCGAACCGAGTCCTACAGAAGCCGCGATAACCTCCACTTCGGATCAGGAGCCCGAACCAAGAACGATCTCGCCCCCCGAATCCCCTCGAATTGAATCTGGGACAGAGCCGGAAGCAGCAATGGCCGCCCACGAAAAGGATACCCAGCTCGTGACGCGTGACCTCCGTCGCAGCGTAGAGAGTCCAGCTATCGAAGAGCAATGTAGAGCAAACAACGACCCGATAGCGGATGATCATGTCGCCTCCGCGAGTTCGAGCATGTGTCATGCTGAAGCGGGAACTACCTCGGCGGTACCACACACGGCTTCTCACGCCGGACATGTAAGCAGTGAAGGTATAACGCATGGAAACAAGGGTACCTCATTTGCCTTATGATAGAAACTTCGCTGACGGAAGGACTAGGCTTGCCCATGTCAGACTCCGAAGACGAGGAGCTCTTTGAATCGATCATCATTGATGACAATGGAGGCCAACCCATCATCATTGACAGTTCCGATGGGGAAATGAATGTCAATTCCCGTCCGAACCCCCGGCGCCGAGCGCAGCGAAAACGGATATCACCACAGTCGCCAGAGATGGTCAATTGGACATCTAAAGAGTATGGGACAACAAGCGCAGCAGGTCTTACCACAGCGTGGGAGAAGGTCTGGGAGCAGTGGGGATGGATCCATACGAAAGCTGATCGGCAGCTCGCCCAAACCTTGGATCAGTTTCACGGGATCATGTCCGATGTGCGGAGTTACGAGCTTTGGAACGAGGAGTATCGGAAGCATGACGGCCGCAGGGCCTTTCGTGCCTGGGGAAGGTATGGAATAGAGAAGAGAGTGAGGAAACTGCTCAGGCCGAAAAGAGACGAAAGACTTATGCGCAAATTCGGAAGGGCTTTGAAGCGGTTACAAGAAGCGGAAGAAGAGCATCATAGTATTGCGCTTACTATGGGTGATGGGGACAGTGAGGATTGTGATTACGTGCCGACTCAGACATGGCTTCCGCATAGTCACAAGTCACAAGTCTAGTCTATACGTAGGTAGCGTTCCATCTGCGTGCGCGCGTGCAGTGCGTGCAGATATGGACGACGGTAGCATCGAGTCTTCGCAATAAGGCAATTCTACAGCAGTGATCTTGTTGGACTGGACTGGACTGGATTCAGGGTTCGGATCCAGTCCAGTCCGGTGCAAGGGCTCTGGGACTCCTGGAGCGCCAGTGCAAATCCAGTTCTCACGATTGCTTAGTAAGTAACCTTTTTCAATGGAAAAGGCCAGTCTAGTGGCCGAATACACATTTATTCTACACTATATACTGCGTCATGGACATCCACAATGTCCATACTGGTTCCATCAATATCGTCCTCGTCCAGAAGATCGTCTTGGTCCGAGATCTGAAGTTCCGCGCCGTCCATTTCGGTATCAGCATCACCCCCACCCTGCTGCCCAGTTTCCTGAGGGTCAGGCTCACCTTCTAGTCTCCCGATGCCTTCGTCGTCGAAAGTATTCCGTGTAGGTGGTCCATACCACGATCGAAGGCACTCACTAGCTTCGATAATATCCATCTTGAGCCTCGAGTGCCGGTCGGTAAGCAGCATCTTTGCGCTGCTGAATAGCCTCTCACACTCATCGGACATTGGTGGAACAGCTAGTACGTCGAGAGCCATACGTGCTAGATCAGGTTGCGAGTAGTAGCGATCATTCCAGTACTGGATAACGTCAAACGAGTCATGTTCATCGAGCCGGATGACGTCTTTCTCAAGAAACTGATCGAGGAGATCGATAGCGGGTATTTCAGGTGCTGATGCCTCATGGCGGAGCTTAAGCCGCTTATGGCTTTTAATAGCTGCAGAAGCCTTCTCTTTCTTAGCCGGAACAGCTGGCGTTAGGGCTGGGGTAGCA